AAGGAAGCATTAGGGGTGTGTTTTGCAGCCATGCAATTAATGGATTTAAGATCTCAAAAATGTGAAAGAAGGGTAAACTCCAGACATTTATTCTTATGCCTCTATACTTATTACACATATATATATAATTTATAGGATTGCTTCATTCACAGGACCTGTCAAAAGGGCCTCCCCAAAAAAGAAAAAAAAACCCTGAAATATTTCCATGAGAAAACATGGAAAAGCACAGACTCTCAGCCAAACAGCATGCAAGTGGTGTTTTGGGGTGGGTTTTTTTCCAGTTTTCCCCCACACTTGTAGTGACCTGACTGAGGTTACTGGGCTTTACACAGACTTTCTGGTTTGTATTTCTGCAGCTGCTGCCCCAATAACTCCCACCAGCCAAGTCAGAAAAGGCCAGCAGCGTGGATTGCATTTCCACTGGGAAATGAAGAGTGAGGAAGTGTGAAAGAAGACCTTGGAAAACCCTTTGTCGTGCAATCATGATCTGGCCCATTATGGATCCCATTTTTCCAGGGAGATTTTGATTGGCATCAATAGTTTCCTCAAACAGAACCATCAGGATGCCCCATTTCAGGTCCTTTCTGGCAATTCCTGAGATTAACATGGATACATCCCAAATAAAACACACGGGTTTCCTTGTAAACCCATGGCACAAGGAGCTGATGAGGCTGACAAGTCACCTAGAGGTGTGACCTGGGACCAAATTCGCCCTTTCTTGATTATTTAGTTGTCTCCAGGTGTAGCTGCTCTCCCAGAGCCATCTCTGCTGGGCACACACAGCTGCTGCCCAGCCACACACCCAGCAGCAATCACCATTAACTCTTGGTTCCTCAACGGCTTTCTCTGCTTAGTCTGGATTAGTCTTTTTTCTCTATATAATTAACCTGATCTCTTCCTTACTAGAACAACAAAACAGCAAAAAAGCTTAAAAATGTTACAGACAAGGGGGGACTTGCTTAGTCGTGCTAAAAAAAAATTATAAGAGTTCTACAGGTACCTCAGTTACACCCCCAAATCTCACACACACGCTTGTTACTAGAAAAAAGGAATTACCACTCCCTTGACTTTCTGTGGATAAGTTTTTGCTCCTGAAAGGAAGCACTGTGGTGGCTGCTGCAAGTAACTGGAGCCAAACAAACTTCCTTTGCTTCTGCTGCTTCGGGCAGAAGCTGAGCTGACAAGTACTTAAACCATGGGAGCACTAAGTTATCGTTAGAGATAAGGAGGACATTAGGGGTCGAACGGGAGGGTTGAGCTTTTCGGGGAGGAATGAACCCAGTGAAGCCGTGCCGGCTGTACGGAGTCCGTGGATCCCAAACCACGGTCAGACACGCAACAAGTAACTCGTGTAAAATCTAAACACAGCCCTTTCTTGCCGTTCCGAACTGTTCCACGGTCTCCTTCCCTCTTCCCCGGTGCCTGCAGAGACCCTTCTCTTCTCTTCCCAGCCCGTGTGATCACCTACCTGTGATCCCTCACAGTGTCCCTGCGCTGCCCTCCGGCCGGGAATTCCGGGAAGGTTAAGAAGGTGGAAGCACGGCATCCCTGTCTGCTCTAGAAAACGCGGCTGCTCCTGTAAGAAGCCCAAAGACTCAAATTATTCTAAAAAGTTGCGACAGTACCGCAAACTATCCAACATAACTACTTTTGATATTTTTTTTTCTTTTAATGCAGTTATTTGTTATTAATAGGCACGCACCGAAGTGATTTCTCCCCCCAGGTGACTCTAACCCGCCTATACCGGGACTGATGTAAGGGTCAGACACAGCTGATCCCCCCGTTAGTTAGCTCGTTAGTGCTGGGCTGCCGGGGCACCTGTGATTTCCCCTCACTGCGTGTTGTTTGGGTAGTGCTGGGTACTTTTTAATGCGTTATTCACCGGGAACTACGAGACCTTACTGCGGAATCTCCCAGCCAGGACAGGCAACAGCGCGCCCAGGCTGTTAAACACAGCTATGGGCTGCATTTATCGCTCTTTCCAAAGCTCTGCACGCAGGCACACTGGGCTCAGGCGGGGCTGCTGCTCACGCATGGTTGGTGTTTGTTTGTTTATTTATTTATTTATTGACTGATTGATTAATTTATGTACCTGCGGGCGGGACACGCTGTCCCCCTGCGGGGCTGTCCCTGTGTGAGGGGCGGGAGCAGCCGCTGCCCCGACCGCCCTCCTTCCTCCCGGCGCGGCCGCTGCCTCAGCACATGGGGAGGGCTCCTCCTGCACCGCCCGCGGCTCAGCCGCTGCCGGGGAGCCTCGGCCGGGCCGCCCTCCTGGCGCTCGGATCGCCCCTCCGAGCCCGGACCTCCCCTCACAGCCGGGGCCGCCCCTCACAGCCGGGGCCGCCCCTCACAGCCGGGGCCGCCCCTCACAGCCGGGGCCGCCCCTCAGAGCCCGGACCGCCCCTCACAGCCGGGGCCGCCCCTCACAGCCGGGGCCGCCCCTCAGTCCCGCCCCTCAGTCCCGCCCTCCCCTCAGCCCCAACGGCCGCGGAGCCCGCCTTCAGCACGGGCCGAACCACCGCGCCGGAACGGGGGGAGCCCCGGCATGGCCCCTTCCTGTCCCCGCCTGTTCCAATGGCGCCCGCCAGGCCGTGCTCTCCAAACACCCCTCTCGCTCTGCGCCGCTCCGTGACGCGCGCGCGCGGCCGCGCTCGAATCTGAACGCGGGGCCGCTCTGAGGGGACGGGACTGACCCGGGACCGCCTCGAGGGACCCACCGTGAGGGGACGGGACTGACCCGGGACCGCCGGGAGGGGACCGGGAGGAGCCGGGCCATGATCGCCGCCTCCGGCCGCCGCCCCGCCCGGGGCGAGCCCCCGGTGCGCTCGGTGCGGCTGAGCAGCCTCCCCGCGGGGACGCTGACGCCGCTGAAGGAGCTGCTGCAGGCCCAGGGCGCTGCCCCGGGGCCGGGGCCGCGGGATGTCCCGCACGGCCGGGCCGGGCCCGCGGCAGAGCGGCCGCCGAAGCGCCGCGCCCCGGAGGGGCCCGGGCAGGAGACCCCAGCCAAGATCTTCCAGCGGATGAAGGAGCGGGCGGAGCGGCAGCGGCGCCGCGGGGGCGGCACCGACGGCATCCTGACCCACGGCACCGGGCAGGGCCAGGGCACCGACGGCATCCTCCTGACCCCCGGCACTGGGCAGGGCCGCACCGGACAGGGCCACACCGGCACCGACGGGATCCTGACCCGCGGCACCGGGCAGGGCCAGGGCACCATCGACGTAATCCTGACCCCCAGCACCGGGCACAGCCATGCCACCGACGGGATCCTGACCCGCGGCACCGGGCAGGGCCGTGCCACCGGCGGGATCCTGACCCGCGGCACCGGGAACAGCTGTGCCACCGATGTGATTCTGACCCCCAGCACTGGGCAGAGCCATGCCACCGACAGGATCCTGACCCCCAGCAACAGGCACAGCCGTGCCACTGATGTGATTCTGACCCCCAGCACCAGGCACAGCCGTGCCACCGACAGGATCCTGACCCCCAGCAACAGGCACAGCCGTGCCACCGACGGGATCCTGACCCCCAGCACCGGGAACAGCCGTGCCATCGACAGGATCCTGACCCCCGGCACTGGGAACAGCCGTGCCATCGACAGGATCCTGACCCCCGGCACCGGGCAGGGCCGGGGCACCGCCCAGCCAGGACACGGTGAGTGCCACGGGCTCTCAGTGACTCCCAGAGAACGGTTTGTTTGCCTTCAAAACACTTGGAATAGAAGGCACAGAGCTGTAATTCTGAGTGCAGTTCGCAGAACACTCTGGCATCTCGTGCTGCAGTGGCATCAACAAACCATATCCCCCCGGGGGTGTTTCTGTTCCCCGGATCAAGGAGGTTTTCTCTGTGGTTGCTTTGCAGGGTCGGTTTTCCCGTGGGTCCCTCAGGCCCCGCCCGCTGCAGAGCCCCCTGTGCTGGAGAGCCCCCAGAAGTTCTTCCTGCGCATAAAGCAGAAACTGCAGCAGCAGCAGCAGCACAAAGGTACTTGGGACTGCTCTGGGAAACACTTGACAGCCTCCTGGGGTCACAGACCCAAGGAACTGGTGAGGCTGGAAAAGCCCTCTGACTCACTGAGTCCAGCCATCCCAAGGCCACCACTGCCCCCTGTCCCAGGGACACCCCCCCAAGGCTGTTCCCATGCTTCAGTATCACTAACTTCTTTGTTACTCCTTTTTCTTTTCTAATGTGCAGATCCAACCCCTTCAACCCCCCTCCAGCAGAACATCCCTCCTTCCACAGCCACAGAGAAGCCCTTAGTCAAGCCTGCCTGTGCTGAGCAGCCCAGGGATGAGCCTCCTGAGGAAGTGGACACCGATAAGGAGGATGATGTGGACGTTTTCCTTGTGGAACCAATAGATGCTGATTGTGAAATGTCCCAGAGTGAAGTGATTAGTTTTCTAAATGTAAATTCCACCCCTTTGAAAAACGATAATCAGGTAAAAGAAAAGAGGGGGAATGGAGGAGCAAAAGATACAGAGGTTCCTGAAGACAGAAGAGAGCTGCAGCCCAGTAAAAACCAAGCTGCTCTGGGAGTGGAGAAGACTCTGGGGAGCAATTCCCCAAAGCCCTCCCAGTGCTTCTGCAGCATTATGCTGTCTAGCCCCTCAGTCCACATTCCAAAGAAGCAGAAGGTGACAGAAAAGCCTGAGGACCCTTTGGACAAACCTCATACCGACCAACCTGCTACCAAAGCAGACAAAGAGGTGGGAGAAATTAATCCTGTAGGGAAAGAGAGATTCCTCTGGTCTGTGTGTAGCTCATAGTTGTGGTTTTTCTTGTCAAAAGCAAGGAGTGCTCAGAAGAGAATAAACTCTATTTCATTGGATTTTACTGGTAAATTTTCCCATCAAAAAGATTTCTTTTTTACCTTACTCCAAGATGACAAATGTTCAGGGTCTGGGGTTTTTTTGTGTGTAAAAAAAACCCTTTTGGTTTAGTATGCACAAGCCACTGTGTTGGTTCCAGCTCTTGGCTGCCCACTCAAATGCAAGGAGCAAAGAGCTTTCCCAGCATTAGGCTAGGGATGAATCTACCCAGCTGCTGGGGAGGTAAGAGGCTTGGCTTTCCTACAGAACATCTGGACTCCTGTTGAGTCAAGTGGGACCAGAATCCTTTCCTAGGAGAGCAGTCTGCAGCCTGGCAGTATTCCCACCTTTCTGTATGGAGAGCAGTGTATTTGGAAGCATGCTGCATCCCTGGGGTTCCCTGGAAACCTGGCACAAGCACACCTGCCCAGGGCTTGAGCTTCCCTTGCTCCCTGGAGAAATCTGGGATTGCAGTCTCTTTAGATTAAACAAGTGACTTGTTTTGTTCTCCCCGCATGGCCAAGTGTGCCTGACGGGTTTCCTGTATCACAAAAACAATTCACCCTCTTCGTAGCTGTGGTTGAGATTGCGATCAGATGCCCTTTAATAGGCAAGATTTGTAGCCAAGGAGAAGAGGCTGAAAGAGATGTTACTGGACCTGAGCACTGAGGAGGTGCTGGCTAATAAACACCATTTTAAATGCTTTCTTTTCTTTTTTTTTCTGTAACAGAAAAGCATCTGCCTGAGCAGCTGGAGGATTAAAGTGATGGATGGCAACACGGCAATTTCCGTGGAGGGCAAACGGCAGTAAGACCCCGTTCTGTGATTGAAGTTTAGTGTAAAACAGGCTGCTTGGGGCAGCCCAGGGCACCCAGCACCAAGGGATGGTGTAGTTCCTAAACTGGTTAAAAACAAGGAAGAGACCAATTCCTTTGTGTGAGCAAGAGGTGGCCAGACAGGGCCAGAGCTGTTCTGTTCCAGGCCAGGAAAGGAAACCAGCACAGAGCACATCCTGCCAGCACCTGCATCCCTCAGGAATGTGCATCAGTGCCACTGCCCCGTGCAATATCAGAGTGCCAGACTGCACCCCCTTCTTTTACGCAAAGAAATCTTGGTATTGCCGTTCCTGACGTTCTGTGTTTCCGCAGAGACATGAGGGGCCTGCTGTGGCACAGCAACGCTGTCACCGAGCGCGTGGCACACAACCAGGTGAGGACGGCCTCGGGCAGCCTCTACGTCCTGCAGGGCAAGCTGGACTCGGCCACCATGAGGAGAGAAGGTGAGGGGCTGCTGAGGGTGCAGCACTGCACACTGCTGAGGGTGCAGCTTGCTAAATACTTGTACTGGCTTTCATTGCACCATTCTGAGGAGTAGCAGCAGGAGGTCTGTGACAGTGGCTCGAGTGCTGCCAAGGCTCCCTCAAGCCTGGAGTGCATGGGCTGTGCTGGCAGGGAACTGGCTGGGTCAGCTCCTCTGACCTTTGGACTGACTGTGCTTGTCCTGGATATTTTCTCTAGCCTCAGTGACTAAAAGTCTTGCTGAGCTGTTGCTGATGCCCCTCTGTCCCCTCAGGGTTTCCCTACCGCTTCATCAAGAGGTTCACCTTTGGCTTTTCCAGACGGTGGAAGGAGTATGTCCAGGAGTTTCTCGAGCAAAGGAGGAGGTAATTTCTTTGGAGATTCTGTTTCACTGCAGTGTTCTTTAAAGTGTTCATTGAGATTTTGCTTTTTAAGAATATTGTACCAGAGAAGTGTGAAAGGCTGCAGATGTGTGCATGAAGCCGCTGCTGTGCTGTGCCACCGGGCTTCTGCCCACAGGAAGGCTTCCCTTTTACATCATCTGTTAGGGAACAGCTTTTTTAGATGCTTATTATTTCTTTTCTTAAACTCCAAATCATTAGGAAAGAACAAAAACAAACCAGTGGTGTGGATGAAGAGAGTGACACTGTGGAGGAAGTTGATGTGTTGGAAACTGCAGAAGGCTCAAAGAAGAAACCTGGAACGAAGAACTCCACCTATGAAGTATTGCCAAGGAATGATGAAAACACTTGTGAGTGTTTGATAAGCAATTCCTTTGGGAAAGACAACTGGGGATGGATGGAATGGATTCTGGAAAAGCTCCTTGTGTTGGTTTTGTTTCCAAGGAATTGCTGTAAAGCCACAACCTGTTGGGCCAGCTGGTTTTGCTGGGCCTTGGAGAGCAGTGCCAGCCTTGTGGACACTGACAGCTTTGGGCTTTAACTCTGACCTTTCTCTGGGTTCTCTGTCCAGTGGGGCTGTGGCCAAACTCCACTGTGCTGTTTGTAGATGCTGCAATCAGATTTCCCTGCTAGCACTGTAAAAGCTCCTTTATTTTTTCTCTCCTCACTCCCATTTATTTGTCTCTCATCATCCGTGTTTATTTTTCGCTCCCTTTTCACTCAACGAGGAGCTGTTCATTGTGGCAACTCTTTATCCTTGTCCCTCCCTCCACGACTTTCCCAGTGTTTATAACCTTGTAAACCAAGTGCAGATCCCCCCAGAGTGGTATAACCTGAGCAGGGGATCAGTTCAGTGCTGTGCTTTCCAATCAGAACACTTTCAGAAGAACTCGTTGGGCTGAGTTTGATATTTGCCCTGTGGTCTGCTTTAAACACCTCATTGCTTGTGAAGTGTGCCAAGCTGAATTTTCCATGCAGTGCCTGGGACAAGCCCCTTCTTTCCTGTTTGTGCCCTGCAGACACCACCCCGAGGCACAGCTCCCGGGGCAACGACTCCAGCCAGGTGTACACTCGCAGCGGGAGACTCATCAGACCCCCCATGAACTTCTGGTGTGGCCAACGAGCCTTTGTGGATCAGAACCTTAATGTCACCATGGAAGAAGGTGGAGTGGATTATCTGAGCCTGGTAAGGTGCCTTTGCATGTTGGTACTTCAGTGTGTCTTAAATATAATGAACAAACTGGCAAGGTGTGTAACGGAACCAGAGCAGCTCTCAGGTACCTGGAGGGGAAGGAAACCTTGGGAACGTGATAAAAACATTGTAAAACAACAGCACTGCCTTAGCTCTGTGTTATCAGGTCATTGTTGTCTGTGAAATGGGGACAATGGGGAATTGGTTCTGGAAAAAGAATGGGGGTTTTGGCAAGATAATGTATCACACAGGAAGGTGGTGAGGTCCCACCTCAGATCCTGAGGCCCTTCACTGCAGGAAAGCCCTTGAGGGACTGGAGCGTGTGCAGGGAAGGGAACAGAGCTGGGAAGGGGCTGGAGCAGCTGGGGGGGCTCAGCCTGGAGAAAAGGAGATTAAATTAGGTTTTTTTAAATTGTATTATTTTAAAGATGCTTAGTAGTGAAAAATCCCACAAAAAGACCAGTTCCATCTCTAAGAAGAATAATCCAAAGGAAGCAATGAAGACAACAGAAGAAATGCCAAAAAGCCAAAATAAAGGTGAAAACGTTTTTTCCCCTATTTTCAAGTGATTGATGGAATCAGTGGGGTTGTGAGTTGGGTGCTGGAGCAGTGGGGTGGGGTCTGTTAATGCAAACGAATTCTGTAAGTCTTTTAATGGTCAGCTGCTTTTTCTATGAGCAGCGATGTGTAGTTTGACAGCTCCAAATATAAACTGTGCTTGTGGAAGTGTTCTCTGATTGCAGAAGTGGGACACACATTTCTTTCTGCACACTGAAGTGAAGGGATTAGGATTTCTTTGAGTTCACCAATCCAGTGACCTGAGGAGCCTGGCTTGGCTTTTTAATGAGGATGAATTCAAAGACCTGAAATGCCTGTGCAGGCATGGAAAAGGAGTTGTTTTTGAAATTGGGGCAATAGCAGAAGCCTGCAAACAGTGTGAAATGCCAAGCAGAAGTTTGTCTCCTAAAGCAGCTGCAATGTGTCCTGCAGAAAGGCTCTCTGGAGCAGGAGCAGAGCTCTGGGAGGTGTGTGCCCATCAGTGTGTTCAGTAAAGTCACGGACAGCCCTTCCCGCAGCTCTGAGTTTGTAGTGCCTGGCAGGTAAAGCTCTGGCAGGGGTTGCAGGTGCCCTGTGCTGAGAGCCACGGCTCACCCTGCACCCTGGCATTGTCTCTTCCAGGGAAAAGCAAGGAGAAAGGAGCCAGCTCCAAACGGGAATTCAAGCCTGCTGGAAAGAAGAAGGCCCGGCCCTTGCTGTCGGAGGAGGAGGGGAGTGACCCGGCAACCAGGGGCACGAAAACCAAAGCCCAGCCTCCTGCCAGGGTGCCTTCCTCAGACACCAGAGTGCCAAACAGACACAGCACCAGGATCCAAGGAATGGCAAAGGAGAAGCAAGGAGCAGATGCAGATGCTGGAGTCCTGTCCATGTACGAGCAGGCTTCCAGGTACTCCCTGAGGTCAGCCAGGAAGCCTTTTCCAGACAAGCGCTTCACCGAGGAATCCTCGGGCAAGGATGAGGGAGAGGCATCCAGTGATGATACCCCACTGCTGATCAGAAGGAAAAATAAATCCCTGTTAAAACCAGGGCCTCAAAACTGCAGATCTCACCCTAACTCTGAAAGATCCCAGGATGGTGCAAACAAGGCGGGCGAGCCAAGGACAGGAAAAGCCTCCCGGAATGTGCCGGTGAGGCTGAGTGGGACGGAGTCCAGCGACAGGTCTGAGCTCTCCACTGGAGGAAACACTCCTGCCAGTGGGTCCAGAGACTCCCTGCTGCCTGGGGAGGCCGTGAGGACACAGAGCAGAGCCAAACCCCCCAGGCACTGGCTGGATTCCGACAGCGAGCCCGAAACCAGCACGGAGCAACCGCCCGCGAAAGACGGGAATGCAAAAGCACCTGGTAAAAAAACAGGGGCTGGAGCTCCCAGCACTGCCAAGTCTGCAGCAGCCAGGTGGAGAGAGCCTGAGAGGGCAAAGCGGCAGAAACCTCTGGAGCTTTTTCCCAGGACAACTGATAGCTGGTCTGAGAAGGAATTGCAGAAGCTTTACAGGCAAGGGGTCACTGTGTGTTCAGAGGGAACAGTTCCCCTCGGGCACTGGCAGGGGTGGGGTGGGCTGCAGTGGGGTTCTGCACATTCCCTCTCTTTCACCTGACTCTCAAGGTTTCTTTTACGTTTCAGTTCCCTTTTCTCCACCAGTTAACCATCAGTGAAACACAGGAGAAGCTGGGTATTTTCTACAATAGCTGGAGATGTGTGAGCCTGCAGCAGCCCCTGTCAGAGCGTGAAGGGAGAGGAGCACTGGTTAGGCAGGATTTTGTGAATCTACTCCTCTGCTGGTTTTCAAAACCACGTAATTGATCTTGTTAAAAATAAAAACTCATTCCTATGAGTAAAATTGAAAACCACGAGAAGGTAAATGATATGGCAGAAGTACTCGTGTGTATGATGTGGACCATGGGTCAGAGGGAGCAGGTTCTGTCCCCAGACTGGAGTGACATGTTTAACGTGCCATGTTTATGTCAGCAGTTTGGTAAGGGAGAGAGGAGCTGCAAGAATGTGTGTGTTCTAAGTGTCTGGAGAAGACACCATAGGATCCCAGACTGGTTTGGGTTGGGGGGGTCTTAAAGAGTGTCTCATCCACCCCCTGCCATGGGCAGGGACACCTCCCACTAGCCCAGGTAGCTCCAAGCCCCGTCCACCCTGGCCTTGGACACTTGCAGGGATCCAGGGGCAGCCACAGCTTTTCTGGGCAACAACAGAGAAGAGGCAGAGCCCCGATTCCCTAAATCCAGGGCTCAGGCCCTTCCCAGGCGGGCTGGGGGGCTGTCCCTGAGGCCCTGCTGTGCTCTCCGGTAGGGCCGTCGCGGTGCTCCCCAAGCACAGGAGCGGATTCTGGCAGGAGGTGGCCATGGCCGTGGGGTCACGCTCTGCCCACGAGTGCCACGGCAAGTACCTGGAGCAGCAGGAGGCCAAGGGCTCCAAATCACAGGCCAAGAAGGCCAAGGCAAGACAACCTGAGCAGAAAGGTACTGGCATCTTGATTCTGGGGCTTTGGGGGTTGCTAAGGGTTTTAATTGAGACATGGAGAGGCTGGAGCGTGTGCAGGGAAGGGAAGGGAGCTGGGAAGGGGCTGGAGCAGCAGGAGCAGCTGAGGGAGCTGGGGGGGCTCAGCCTGGAGAAAAGGAGGCTCAGGGGGGACCTTCTGGCTCTGCAGTCCCTGCCAGGAGGGGGGAGCCGGGGGGGGTCGGGCTCTGCTCCCAGGGAACAGGGACAGGAGGAGAGGGAACGGCCTCCAGCTGTCTCTGGACAGTGACTGTTGTGGTCCTGCAGATAAGAAGGAGCTGGTGATAAGTGCCAAGGTGGGGACCCTCAAACGGAAGCAGCAGATGAGGGAGTTCCTGGAGCACCTGCCCAAGGACAACCACGACGACGTGTTCACCACGACACCCTTCCAGAGCAGGAGGGTCAAGGTACAGCTGGGCAAACAGCACCTGAGGGTGTCTGGGGGTGTTGTGTTTGTGCTTTCCCAGTGGGTGTGGGACCAGCCTGGTCTAGTTCCAGCAGTAATGCCCTGTGCATCTGGGGCAGGAGGCTCCTTGCTGTGCTGCTGCCATCCTCTGCTGTGGTGAAGCACCTGGCACACATCCAGCCACGGCTCACTGGGAAGTCAGAGCTCCCAGTCAAATCCACCACGTGCTGTACCAGCAGCATGGCACAGAGAAATCCCCAGGACTAGGGATGCCTGGGACTAGGATGATCAATTGGCTGGGAGGGCATCGATGCTTCTGTGTCCAAGACACCCTGGTTTTGCAGAGGGATTCTCCAAAGATGACTTTTATTAGAATATGATTTCAGCCAGTGATTCCAAAGTGTTCTTTTTCCCCCCTCAACCTCATTCTGCTTGTGCTGGGCAAAAGAGCCTGACTCCTCCTGTAGTGTCCACTGGCACCTCCAGAGAGAAATCCTGTGTATGGGAGTCAGGAGTGGATTCCCCTTCCCTGAACCAGCCCAGTCTCTCCTTGAGTCCAGGCAGGCTCTTCCCATCTGGAATTTCCTGTGCTAATTCCTAGAGCCAAATCCTTTGCTGTGTGAACAACAATCATCATCTCTTGTCTGTTCTGAACTTCCATCTGCTGGCCTTGTCCTCCTCTCCTCATGGGCTCTGTCCTGGATCCTGTCCTGTCCCTGCTCCCAATTTCAGCTGTGCTTTGGATCTTCTGTGCTGCTCTTCCCTGAACCTTTCCTGTGCCTCTCTTTCTTCCAAAGGCGAGGACCACAAGTTCCCTGAGTAACCCTCCTTCTGAGCAGCCATGCTCAGCTCTGAGCTTGGAATTCTAAGCAGAGCTCTGTCTCGGTGTGTGGTGGCATCCAGGCTGTCACCCAGGTGCTGGGCAGCACGGGGAGCAGCATGTGGGGCAGGGCAGGGCCGTGGTTTGGCCGCTGGGCCGTGTCCATGTCCCTGCGCTCGGGCAGGGATGGGATGGAGGGATGGAGTCACAGCCATGCAGAGAGGAAGGGCTGGAGCGACTGTGGAGGAGAGGGGAGAGCCTGGGCTGTGTCTGGGGACAGGGACCCCCTGGCTCAGGTCCCTGATGGCTCTGGGGTGGCTTTGCAGCTGCCGACGCTCCGGGACGACGACCCCGAGGACTTTACCCTGGGGGAGCTCTCGCTCACCCCCGGCTCAGCCATGTTCCCGCTGGCCAAAACCCCCCAGTGCGAGCACATCAGCCCGGGAATGCTGGCCCCCATCAACAGGTAGGAGCTGGGAAACCCCCGGGCAGCACAGCAGCCCGGGAATGTGGCCCCCAGCAGCAGGTAGGAGCTTGTCTGCCAACCTCGGCCTTTGGCTCTTCCCCAAACCCCTTTGAGGGAGGCAGCTCGTGGAGTGGGACACGGGTGCCTCCCAGCCCCTCCTGCCGGCCCTGCTCCGGTCCCTGGGGCTGATGTAACCCAGCTCTTGGGGCTGTGCCCGTTTGCTGGCCATGCCATTCCCTGAGCTGGATGTGATGCCATGGCTGCAGCCAGCAGGGAGTGGGGGCTGTGGCACTGAGTGCTCCCTGTGGCCCGCAGGAAGGACGTGGACAGGCACGTGTTGCGGATGCAGAAGAAGGCGCAGGGCAGCAGAGGCACCTGGGACAAGGTGCACAAGAAGTCGGTAATGCTGCTTTCCCCCAGTTCTGCCCCCTGCCACCCCAGCCAGGCACAGCTGGGCCCATGGGAGACACAGCCCTGGGATGGACAGCAGGAACCCTCCCCAGCTTCCTCCCAAATTCCTGGCTTTGGTCTCTACTGCTGTGGAGAAAAGGCCCTTTGGTTAGAAAGGAGCTGTTCATTGTCAAGATTAAAGCCACAGCTTTGGGTCAGGATTTGTAACTGCTTTGGAATTCTGTGGTCTTTATGTTCCTGTAACATTGTTCTGAACAGTGGGAAAAGAGTAACCATGGAATATCCAGAGTTGGAAGGGACCCCCAGGGATCATGGAGCCCAACTCCTGATCATGACCACAGCCATGGTCCCTTGTATCCTACTCCCTGAATTTAGGTATTGATTCCTCCACTATCCCAGTTTTTGCAGTTCCAGGCTTTTCCATGAAAAGCCACGATCCCAGCAGCAGAAATGCGCCTTGTGCCCTGGTTCAGAGGGAGCAGTTGTGGCAGCTGAGCAGTTCAAATTTGGGGAAGTAGTGCAGGGCTGGTGTGGCTCCGTCCCAGCAGGGCCCCAAGCTGAGCCTGTGTCCTTCCTTCCCTCCCCCAGGCTGGAACCGTGCTCGGGACACCGGCTTCCCGCAGGGCCAAGGTCAGCCTGGAGAACAGTGAGTATTCCTGCTTCCTCTTCCTCCATTCCCAGCTCCTTCCCTCCTTCCACATCCCTGCCTTGCTGGGTGCCCTCGATCGTGGCTGTCTGGGCCTTCTCCCCCTGCTCTTCCCCCTCGGACACGCTGATGATCCCTGTTTTCCACTGCAGACGTGGCCCAGGCCCCTGAGGTGGGGAAGCTCTTTGGAGCTCAGACACGAGACTCCTCAGAGGAGGAGGAGGACCAGGATTCCTATTTTTCCATGTGATGAAGTCTGTGGATCTGTTGGTTCAGCACTTGGGTGCCTCGTTCCGAGTCTGCAGTTCAGCCGCCCCTCCGGGAGGGAAGGGCTGGGATTACAAGATCGATTTGGAAAATGTTCCCCGATCTGGTTTTTATGTGTTTTAACCCCATTCCCATCTTGCTGGCACTATTTGGGTTTTCCATGTGTACAAAGTGGCACTTCCTTGCCCAGCTCCTCCTCCCCTGTTTCTGTTCCTGTTGCCTTTTTCTCCTGGGAAGGAGAAATCTACTGGCAAGGTCATTTTGAGATAAAATATCTATTGAGATATGAATGTACAATAAATTCAGGTAAGATCTGGAAAAAAATGAAACTGCTTTTTACTGTCCCCAAGGGCAAGTCTGAATTTTTACATTTCCTGAATGTAATAAACAAAGATGAGTTTGTTTTACTCACAGATCCGTTGGACTTCGTGGGGCAGCAGAATCCATGACCTGTCCAGCTTCAGATGGGGCCTCAAGGCTTCATCCCCTTGGTTTTGAATCACAGGCTTGGAATGGTTTGGGGTGGAAGGGCCTTAAAGCCCATCCAGTGCCACCCCTGCCATGGGCAGGGACACCTTCCACCAGCCCAGGGTGCTCCAGCCTGGCCTTGGACACTTCCAGGGATCCAGGGGCAGCCACAGCTTCTCTGGGAATTCCATTCCAACCCCTCCTCACCCTCCCAGCCAGCAATTCCTTCCCAATCTCCCATCCATCCCTGCCCTCTGGCAGTGGGAAGCCACTCCCTGTGTCCCGTTCCTGTTGCAGGAAGGTGATGTATCTCTGTCCCGGCCTCTCTCAGAGCTGTGAGCAGGAAGGGATGGGAGTGAAGATCCCGGTCCTTTTCCAGGCAGCCACAGTGTGGCAGCAGAGGCCGCGCGGGCGGTGCCGGGGAAGGATCACTCGAGCTGCTGCAGCCCGGGCCGAGGGAGCAGGATGGGCACACGAGGCCCACAAGGAAAGGGGACCTGCCCCGGGCCCCCCCAGCAACGCCCCGGTGTCCTGGGCCCATGGAACAGCGGGCAATTCCCTTTCTTCCCGGGAAAGGCGGGTCTCGGCATTGCACTGAAGGGCAGGAGCTGCCGGGGGGCTCCTTCCCGTGACCCCCAAAGCTTTACTTTGCCGAGGTACTGGAGCCATTCCTGTGTTTTGCTCCCAGCCCAGCCCAGCCCAGCCAGTGCCGGGTGTGGCCCCCCGGTTCCCCCGCGGTGCCCGGGGCAGGCGCGGCTCCCAGAGCCCGGTGCTTGGGAAGGGTTTATTGGGTCGGACACCAACCCCAGTAAAGTGCAGTGCAGGGCCCGAGTCCCAGCCCTCAGCTCCGGGGGGCTGCAGGGCCCTCCCCGCCGGCCCGGGGGGGCTGTGGCAGCAGCTGGGGGTCGAAGCTGTGGCGCAGGTACCGCTGGATCTCCTCGGCACGCTCCGGGCTCAGCCGCGCCGCCGCAGCCACAGCCGAGGGGGAGCTGCAAGAGAGGGGCAGGGCCGTGAGCCGGGCCCTGGATCCACGGGACACCCTGGATACAGCACCAGCAACACCCCAGGCTGCCGGGAGCACACCCAGCAAGGCCAGGGAGCTGCAGGGAGAACAGGAACGGCAAAAGGAAAGACCCGGGGGAGCAGCAGGAGGGAGAGGGAAGTAAAGCCCAGAGTCCGTGGGAGAGACTGGAGGGCATAAAGAGAAGGGATGAGACTGGACAGGAGAGCTCCTGGGAGCCCTGGCAGGGACAGAAAGGATCTTCCCAAGCAGCTATCCCAGCAGGAAAGGCACAGCAGGAAGAATCTCCCTGAAGAGCTATCCTAGCAGGAAAGGCATGGGAAGGATCTTCCCAGTTATACAGCTTGAAAGGTGCAGGAAGGATGGCCCTGAAAATCGATCCCAGCTCCCCCAGCAGGAATGGGGCAGGCAGGGTGTCCCCAGTGTTACCTGTTGGCCAGCTGGCGGGGGCAGCTGAAGCAGTGGCAGAGCTGCAGGGCCCCCACGTAGCTGAGGCAGGGGATGCTCAGGTAGAAGCCCAGCAGGTCCCGCCGGGGCCCCTCGAGCTCGGTGGGAACCCCGATGGCAGCTCCCTTCCTGTGCTCCAGCAGGGCCAGGTCCCTGAGCAGAACAGCAGTCTCCTCCTGGCAGGAGCTGAAGAGAATGCGGATGCCGGCCTGGACCAGGGCTGAGAGCACCCCATCGTAGTACTGAGTCCTCTGGAACGAACGGGACACGTCTCCTGCACGGGGGAAGGCCAGGGCGCACCGTGAAAATCCAGGGTGAGGGCTCACAAAGCAAAACAGCTCCAGGATCCCTCACTCTGAGAACTCACAACCAAACACATGGGGAGGGAACACATCCCAGGCACCCTGGGCTGGTGGAAGGTGTCCCTGTCCTGGGCAGGGGGTGGCACTGGATGGGCTTTGAGGTCCCTCCCAACCCAAACCATTCTGGGACTCCAAGAAATCAGCAGAGGCACAAATGCACCTGAACACTGTTCCATGAGGGACCAGCAGCACCCTGGAATTGGTGTCATGAGAGAAACTGGACAAAGGGGATGGAAACGAGTGACACCCTCAGCAGTGGGATAAACAGGCAGCTCCAACTCAACCCACTTCCTACAGCCCCCTCAGAGAAGCTGCATCTCCAGGGACCACTCCAGCACTGTTCCCATATGGGAACTATCAATAGATGAGATTTGCCATGAAACCAAAGCTGCATCCCCAACAACTGGACTGCAGTGGTGGAGTTTCATATCCCACAACATCTGTAATGGAATCAGGGATCTGAGCTCCTGTTCATCTGTGGAGCAGGTGCAGCAAGACCTCTCAGTTACTGTCTAGGTGGCCCTGGCAACAGACAGGGGAACCATCTGACTGTGTAATTTTGATTAGAACAAATTTATCTGCATGGATAAGATTGTGCTTGTTCCTTTATCACACGATCCCAGACTGGTTTGGTTGGAAGGGACCTTAAAGCTCATCCAGTGCCACCCCTGCCACGGGCAGGGACACCTTCCACCAGCCCAGGGTGCTCCAGCCTGGCCTTGGACACTTCCAGGGATCCAAGGGCAGCCACAGCTTCTCTGGGCAACCTGTGCCAGGGCCTGCCCACCCTCCCAGCCAGCAATTCCTTCCCAATATCCCATCCATCCCTGCCCTCTGGCAGTGGGAAGCCATTCCCTTGTGCTGCCCCTTGGGAACACCCACCTGGTCTGGTCCTGTCTGTCTCCAGGATGACACAGACCTTCTGGAACAGGCCCTGCAGGCGCTGCAGGCGCTGGCTCAGCCTGTTCCTGTTCCCAGGGCCCTGCAGTTCCGACTGGAAGGTCCTTTCCACGGCCAGGCGGGTGCTGACGATGTAGTCGGAGCTGCCCAGGGAACAGACCTGCACCCGCAGCCCATGCACTGCCCTGAGGGAGGAGATCACCTGTGCCCCACAGCAGATCTCCCTGCTGTCTGCCAGGATGCTCAGGGAAGGGCCTCTCCCTGCAGGGTCCCGGCACAACCCGGCTAGGGCTGGGGAGGGGGCTGTGGCTGCAGGACATGCTGGGTCTGAGGTGCTCCCACAGGGGCTCTTCCAGGAGCTCTTCACCTTCGAGGGCTGGAGATCACCCAGGGACTGTAATAGATCACAGGGGGTTAAATCAAATTAATAAAAGGATGCTTTGCAATAGTAACACTTTCAGACTGACACTTTAACCCCCTGTATCCATCTCCCAAATGAGCTCAACTGATTATCCAGGAGTTGGAATGACAAAAGCAGCAGCTTCCATTAACGACTTCAGCAAAACCTGGACCATATACAGGACAGGAGTCAGGCTGGGAAGGGTGAGAGATCAGGAACCCAACCTCAGGCTGGAGGGAGTTAATTTAGGATGGTGAACAGGTGTGTTATAAGCACAAACCCCCCCGAACTGGTGGACACTCAGCTGTCCCACACAGATCCATGCTCCCCCACGGCTGTCAGTCCCAGGAGATGATCTAATCCCCAGCTCTTCTTTACTGACTGCTGAGATACTCCAGGATACCCTGGCAGTACAAAAGCTGCAACAGCAAAGGGAAGGGAGATGGTGGGAAGCAGCACCAGGAGTGACTCCGCTCCTGTGTCACCAGAAGCTGTGGCTGCCCCTGGATCCCTGGAAGTGTCCAAGGCCAGGTTGGACCTGGGCTAGTGCAAGGTGTCCCTGCCCATGGCAGGGGCTGAAATGACATGGTTTTAAGGTCCTTTCCCACCCAAACCATTCCAGGATTCCCTGACTCCTGCTGCTGTGCTGTGACAGCCCCCAGAACAGCCCTGCCCCAGGAATCCCCTCCCACCATGCAGGGTGAGAGGAAGGTCCCTGTTGTGAGTGAACACTGACCTCACTGGCAGCCTGGACAGAGCCAGGGACAGCTGGTGAGAAGGATGTGCTCCTGTTGGGATGGTCTGGGTGCAGATCCAGCCTCTCACACACCAGAGGCTCCAGGCCAAGCAGCAGCTCCCTGTGGTGCTCAGGGGGAGGCTCCCCAGGCCGAGGAGCTGGGCTGGCCCCAGCACGACTGCTGTGCTGTGCAGGGGGCTCGGGGCACTCTGCACTGCCCTGCTCTGCCCTGGAACAGCCTTCCATGGATTCCTCCCTGCTGACAGCTGTCTCCTCCTCGCTGGAGTCACTGATGACCCTGATCCGAGATGGTTTCCTCCTGTGCTCCGGCCTGGCCTGGTTCAGTCTCGTCCTGTGCCGGGTGAGATACCGGCCTGGACCAGCCAGGAAACTGTCCCTGGGGAGGAGACTGATGCTCACACACTGCTCCTCCTCCTCCTCCTCTTCCTCCTCCTCCTTCTCACTGGGCCCACTCTGGCTGCAGCCTTCCTCCTCCTCATCCCCCACACAGAAACTGTCCTCCATGTACTCCAGGTCCTGCTCAGGAATCTGCGGGAAAAACAATCCCAGTGAGCTGTGGAACAGTGGAATGATGGAGCTGCTCCTCCCCACAGAGGCTCTTGGCTCATCCAACACCAGGGGCTGAGGGGCTTCTCACACAAGCAATGGTTTGGGGTGGGGGGACCTTGAAGCCCACCCAGTGCCACCCCTGCCATGGACAGGGATACCTTCCTTCCCAATATCCCATCCATCCCTGCCCTCTGGCAGTGGGAAGCCATTCCCTGTGTCCTGTCCCTCCATCCCTTGTCCCCAGTCCCTCTCCAGCTCTCCTGGAGCCCCTTTAGGCACTGGGAGGGGCTCTCAGATCTCCCTGGAACCTTCCCTTCTCCAGGCTGAAGTATTGGGTTAAAATTTGTTATTTACCAAAAAATGCCAACTATACCCCAGAGCAGGACTGAAACCCAAATGTGCTCCCAGCAATGGGAATTCCCAAGGACAGAGGTCACTCCCCACCTGTGAGAAAATGTCCGAGCTGTTGAATTCCCGACGGACGTTCCTGCTCCTGCTGCCCAGGGCAGGGCTGCGCACGGACTCCAGGTACAGCGCCTGCATCTCCGACTCTGGCCCACAGGAGAGGGAACATGGTGTCATTGCAGAGATTACCTTTCATTCACTCCTGTTACACTGTTCTCCATATTCAGTCACGCCTTTATAGTCTCCCAGAAACCTGCATGTCCCCAGACAAAAACCTGCAATTCCCCATCCACCTCTGGGAATCCCAAGGGCTCTGAGACGAAGGAGAGCAGGGTTAGATGGGATAGTGGGAAGGAATCCTTCCCTGGGAGGGTGGGCAGGCCCTGGCACAGGTTGCCCAGAGAAACTGTGGCTGCCCCTGGATCCCTGGGAGTGTCCAAGGCCAGGCTGGACAGGGCTTGGAGCAACCTGGGCTAGTGGAAGGTGTCCCTGCCCACTGGATGGGCTTTAAGGTCCCTTCTAAACCCAAACCATTCTGGGATTCTAAATGTCCCCAGCTTGCTGTCATGAAAGCTGCCATGGAATTCCAGGATATCCTGAGCTGGAAGGGACCCCAAAGGATTATCCAGTGCAACCCCTGGCCCTGCCCAGGACACCCCAACAATCCTCCCTGTCCCTCAGAGCGTTGTCCAAACCCTCCTGGAGCTCTGGCAGCCTTGGGGCTGTGCCCACTGCCCTGGGGAGCCTGTTCAGTGCCAACCACCCTCTGGGGGAAGAGCCTTGTCCTGAGATCCCACCTGAGCCTGCCCTGGCACAGCTCCTGCACTCCCTGAGGCTGCAGAAGGTTTGCCAAGCTGGCAAAGCTCTGGATGCCGTGGCAGGAGCAGCCCCTCAGCCCGGGTGAGGAGGTCACTGCTCATTCCCCCCGTCCACGCCCATCCCACCCCATCCACCCCCAGGGATCTGCAGTCCCACACAGCTCCCCACTCACCGTTCAGGGCCTGTGTGACCTCCCCCTCGTCGTTGAGGAACTGGGCCATGGAGGAGCTCAGCTCATCCTCGGCCCCGTCGCTCTCGTCCGAGGACAGCCCCTCTGCGCCGTGCTGGGACAGCTCTGCCTCCTCCTGCAGGAACTGCCTGGCTGCAGCCTGCAACAGAGGGGCCTTGCAGGGGGCTCTGATGAGCAGTGCTGCCCCCAGGCCCCTGATCCCCCCAGCCATCAGCTGATCCCCACAGGCAATCCCAAGGCCTGTCTGCCCCCGGAGCAGGGAACAGCAGAGGCAGAGCCACCAGCAGGGGGGCTGAGCTGCCCGAGGCCATCTTGGCTTCACAGCTCACACATCCACTTCTACCTTTTATTTGCTTTCAGAAACCTGGTTTGCTTTTGAAGGGCTGGATTTCCCCAAACCCAAATCCAGTGGGAACTTCAGACCCCGACTCCCCCTGGTGTGCCCTTTCCTGCTCAGGTGCCAGCTCCTCAGATGATTTACTGTGTCCAAGGCCAGGGGCTGCTCTGGTCAGATCTGTGCTGACCTCATTGCAGATCTCTCCTGACAGGGCTCCCTGACTGCTGTGGGCTGCTCACAGTGGGTTTAATGCCTGGGATCTCCTGTGCATCTGGAATTCTGGCCTGCCCATCACTGTGGATGTTTAGGGAAGGTCAGTGTGAAGGCACAGGAGAATTTCCCAAGCAGACACACTCTTTTTCTATGATTCTTTTGTGTCACATTAAAAAAAATGTTTCAATTGAACTGAAAAATGGATTTTAATCCACCTGATTCTTTGTATCCCAGAACACAAAACACTGATACTGTAGGGAAGGCTGGATAATGAAGACTATCTTTAGAACATCAAAACTATCCAATGCATTGTGCCCTGGAGCCCTGATTATGGCAATTTCTGCCCAGTGGAACCACAGCCACAAACATTTAGGAGTTTTTTTACTTATGATGGTTCTGGCCCTGCTTCCTCTCCTGCTGCAGTGATGGACTAAAGTATCTGAGCTAAGATTTAAGATTTGGGGTTGAGGGACCATTGCTGCCTTAAATGTTCAAAGCAGGGGGTAAATTCATATATGATCAAGTATCCCGATGCAAATAATTATAAAAATATTAATTTCTGGGCAAGACCCTGAGTTCCCAGAGCTGACCAATCCAGGAGTATTTCTGGAGATTGTAAAATGGACATTGTTATTTGGCTTCAGAACTGTCTCCAGGGCCCTGCAGACCCTGACAGCCAGCAATGGATGGCAGGGTTCAGGTCTTTATCCAGTTCCAAGATTTCAGCTCCAACATTTGCAATGCACTGGTGTGGAACAGCTGAGCCTCAGCCCTCCTGGACAGTGTCCTACCAGCAAAGAGTGCCCAGCTCCCTGCCCACATTCCAACTCCAGTGCCAACTGCTCCAACACGACCTTCCCAAACCAGGAGAGACACGTGAGGTCACACACCTTGGATGTGGGACTGCTCCTGACCCGCTTGGCACGTCCTGGCCGGAGTTTGTTCCGGGCTGTGGAGCTGCTCCTCGTGGTCCTGCTCCAGTTCTGGGCAAAATCCCCACTGTCATCACTGGACTCTGACTGGGAACGGGGAACACACCCCTCAGAGAGTCAGGGGAAAGCAAGGAATGCTTTAATTACAGTCATAAATCCCAGACTGGTTTGGGTTCAAAGGACCTCAAAGCCCATCCAGTGCCACCCCTGCCACGGGCAGGGACACCTTCCACCAGCCCAGGGTGCTCCAAGCCCTGTCCAACCTGGCCTTGGACACTTCCAGGGATCCAGGGGCAGCCACAGCTTCTCTGCCCAACCTGTGCCAGGGCCTGCCCACCCTCCCAGCCAGAAATTCCTTCCCAATACCCAACCTAAATCTCCCCTTTTCCATCCTAAAACCATTCCCCTTGTCCTGTCCCTCCATGCCTTGTCCCCAGTCCCTCTCCAGCTCTCCTGGAGCCCCTTTAGGCCCTGCCAGGGGCTCTCAGGTCTCCCTGGATCCTTCTCTTCTCCAGGGGAACCCCCCAGCTGTCCCAGCCTGGCTCCAGAGCAGAGGAGTCATCCTTGAAGGTTTGCTTTTTAAGAAATACCTGATTTCCTGTGATTGATCTTTTGGGGCTGGGAGCAAAGGGGAAGGTGTCACTGCCCATGGCAGGGGGTGACACTGGATGGGCTCCAAGGTCCCTTCCCACCCAAATCCTTCTGGGGTCCCGGGATCTTTGGAGGCTGGGAGAGAACTGGGGGAGGGAAGCAGGGATGGGTTCCCATTATCCCCCCAGTTTCCCAGAGCCCTCACTGACCATGCTCAGGGGGTGCCGGCGCTTCCTGGTGAGGTGGTGCTGGGGGGGCTCGAAGTCACTGTCGTCCATCCCCTGTGGGAACAGCAATGACCATCACTGCACTCAGCACTTGTGCCTTGCTCTTTGAGCTGTCATTTTGCTTCTCTTGCCTATTTTATTTTTCTAAGACTCACATCAGGAGACCTCAAAACATTCTTTTTCGTCCTGTTTTTTCTCTGGAAAACGATCTCCTCCTCGCTCTCACTGCTGGTTCCTGCAGCAAAAAGAGTAAACAACATTCACTGGGAATTGCACAGTTCACAACACAATATTGCTATAACTGAGCAATCAAAACCTGCCTCTCTCACAAAAGTACCTCCAAAGGAGATTATTTATTGATCCACAGGACAAATATTGTTCTCTTTAGCCTTGTTAATCAAAATAGATAATCTCCAGCTGGGATGTACAATAAATCCTGCTTCCCTGGAGACTCTGGGGGTGGGAGTGATTACCCTGGGCAGCACAGAGATGGAAAAAGGGAGGGGGAATGCAGAACCAAGAGAAGAAGCCCTTAAAAGCTGAGAAAGAGTTGCACTTGTGGCAGCACTTTGTGACCCAAAGCCCTCTGGGTGCATGGACTGGAGCCAAGGAACAGGGTTTGTGAGTCCAGAGGAGGCCCTGGAGCTGCTCCCAGGGCTGGAGCCCCTCTGCTCTGGAGCCAGGCTGGGAGAGCTGGGGGGTTCACTTGGAGAAGAGAAGGCTCCAGGGAGAGCTGAGAGCCCCTTGCAGGGCCTGAAGGGGCTCCAGGAGAGCTGGAAAGGGACTGGGGACAAGGGATGGGAGGTGTCCCTGCCCAGAGCAGGGGTGGGACACCATGAAATTGGGAGTCCCTCCCAACCCAAACCATTCTGGGATCCTGTAAGAGTTTGTGCTGAAGTTGTGATCTCAGAAAATCTTAAATACAAGTCAGCTGTCATGTGAGTAAAGGGAAAGAAATCCATCAGTAGAGTTTCCATTCCTCAGGAGCAGTGACAGGAAAAGATGAAGGCATGGATTCAGGGATCAACAGATCCAGAGGAGTACCAATCAGATCCTGAGGAGATTAAGAAAGGGCTTTGAAGGCAGCTGTAACTCACACAGTTACATCTCCCATGGCTTTAACACTCGTGAGGAGGTTCAGGTGGTTTAATTCCCAGTCCTTCCTTGGATGTGGGGTGGGGTGAAGTCTCCTCATCCACCCAATTCCAGTATTGCAGCCATCACTTCTCTTCCTTTCAGCCCTCCCACCTCCCTGACAACACCAAACTGAGGATCCAAAAGACACTGGATCCTGTTGAGCAAACATGAAGGGACCAAACCTGTCCCACTGAGATCCCCACCTGGACACACCCGGGATCCACGGAGGGCGGTGTCTTCCAGCTCTGCAGTTCTTCCTAACGGGGAATCCACAGCTGAACTCCCAAACTTCTGCCCATGTGAGCTTTTAGGGACTTCACCTCCAAGAGGCACCTCTGGAGTCTCCTCCCTGGCACTGGAGAAGACTTTCCTAGGAATCCTTTTGATGGCTTGGACATTCCCACCCTTCCTGCTTACGGGGGTCGAAAGTGCCAAAGGCAAAGGTTCAGGTGATGCCCTTCCCGTTCTCCTGCCTCCTGACCTGAGGAAAGGCACTGCAGCAGGAGCAGGCTCTGGCCCTTCCCTGTCACTCAGGCCCCTGCTCTGGAGTGGCAGTGGTGTGGAAATGGCTCTTCTCCCCAGAACTCTGCAATCCCGTTCTGGTGAGGTTTCCAGCCTGGCACCATCGCTCTGGAATCTCTCTCCATCCTCAGTGGATTTTGCCCCCCTCCCCGAGGCAGCGTTTGCTTTGCTGGTGCTCTCGGTGTTCCTGTTCTCCTCAGGGGGTTCACTGTCACTGTCTGAGATGGAAAAGCCCAGGTCGAAGGTGACGGAGAACAGCTCCTGGGAACAGTTGGACAGATCCTCGTTCTCCAGGCCCTGCTCGGGCACTCCAGGAGTTTCCATGGATTTCCTGCTTTGGGGCTGCTCCCTGCAGCTGCTGGTGTTCACACAGGGCCTCTCTGAGGGAGCCCCCTTGGATCCCCCCTCTCCATCTGTCCCGATGACGTTCCCACCTGGCTCTGACCTGGCTGGAGGCTCCTCGCTCACGGATAACCCGCCGTCCCCAGTGCCATCCCCAGGCTCATCCTCAAACAAATGGATGCTCTGCTCTCCACCAACACCACCTTCGGTGTCTCTGTGCGCAAAATGCCTGTTTGAAGGGGGGTTTGTGGCTGGAGGCTTCCCTTGGATGTCAGGGAATTCCTCGTTGTCAAACAGCCCATCAAAGCTGTCATTCCAGGCGTGCTCCTCTTCAACAACGGCAGCCTTGGAAGATGAGGCAGTTTTGGACAAATGGGGACTTGTTGGAGCACAGAATTCCCTGGGGACGTTCAGTTTGGGATTTTCCACGAGCAGCAGTGAAGGATCAGCTTCTGAGGACACGGAGAAGGCTTTGTCCTGCAGTTCCACGGAGTGACCCTCGGGGATAACCTCTGGGACAGGACATACTGCTTCCTCATTCCTCACCACGTTCTCCAAGTCCTCGAGTTCATTCCAGGAGGGAATGGGGGGAGGGGACTGTGACAAAAGCCTCTGCACACGGGACAATGTCAGTTGTAAGCCAGGAGGCTCCTGGGACGGTGTCCCGAGTGAATCCCTGTAGGATTCGGGGAGATAGAACAGGTCTGAGGACACTGGGGATGTCTCGTACCCTGAATCCCCAGGGAGCATCCCCAGGGATGCAGGAGCTTTGCCTGCAGGTTTGTTTCCCTGAGCTGCTGGACTGTCAGCAATGTCAGTGCTGTCACTGCTGTCACACAGGTCGATAACTGCATTTAAGTCAAATGTCACCTCCAGCTCCTCGTCCCTCTCAGTGTCCTGGTCAGGCTGTTCATCCAGAGCAATCCCTCCCGAGGCAGAAGCCGAAGGACCCGCTCCCACACTGGATCCAGGAGTTCTTCTGGGAGGCTTTGGCTTGGTTATTTTAAAGGTGGTGAAGAGTTCACTCTCGTTATCACCCCCATCAGGCAGGAATGGTTTCCTTTTGGATGAGTGTGCCATGTCTTTCCTGGAGGATCGTGCTCTCTGACCCCAGCTGGAGTTGGCTGTGTGGAGATGCCTTTTATTCCTTGGAATATTTACATCTTCCACACGGAGGTGGGGCTGGAGCTCCCGTCCATAGCCGCAGTCTCCCTGGGACAAACACAGGGCAGCATTTACTAGAGACACACCATTGGTACACACAGCCCCAGCATGGGGCACAACTGACAAAGCTTTCACTCTCCTGAACAACCTCTCACTCACACCCCCTCAGCTGCTTTTTCCCTGGGCCTATCAATCCTCTGTTCCAAAGGGAACCAGCTTTTCCAAACACACACCTGGAAAAAGCACAGCAGGCTTGGACAGCACCCCCAGTGAGGGATCCACACAGGGACTCCTGGATGGAAAGCTGTTCATTTACTGCCCTTCCCACCCCCTCTTTTAAATGAAGGTTTCAAAATTAAGGCCTGCAAAGGAACAGCAAGGGCCTAAAGGGGCTCTGGAGGCAATGGTTGGGAATGTTCCTTTGGAGTTCCAACCTGTTTCACTAATTACAATAAATGGCAATAAAAATAAGGATGTAAGAACTAAACAAAAGGAACAATCACTATATGATTATATTTTGGCAGTTCAGTGAGATGAATGCCTGGACTCCTCAAGCCCTGAAACGAAACAAGGTCCCTTGGGTGATAAAACTGACTTTCACAGTAAGAGATTACCTGGACTGTCTGCCTCCTAACAGTCCCAAAAGTGTTGTTATATATCACATTTGTGTGTGTGTGTGTCCATCCATACACACATACAGGTCATATTTATTCCCTGGGAGACCAGCAGACCCCCAGAGCACCCCGCTGACTTCTGGAGAGCCTTGACTCCATAGCAGTGAAGAACAGAACTGCTGTGAAAGGGTTAAAGGAGCGCTTTGATAGGGCAGGTTCCAATAATTGGTTCCCTCAAGCTCAAGGCACAGAATGCAGGTCTGGGATTCTCTGGTGAAATCCCAGGGCCAGCAGGAGCCAGAAGTGCCCCGTGTGAGAGCAGGAGTGGTTTGGGGAGGAGCCAACGGGGCAATGCTGGGGTGTTCAGCTGAGGAACAGCCCAGCTGGCACAGCCAGCCTTAAATTGTTCTGTGACACAAAACTAACCAAACTGCAAACTCCAAACCCAAAACTAACCAAACTGCAAACCCCAAACCCACAACCGCCAAACTAATCAAACTGCAAACCCCAAACCTATAAATCCAAACCCAACCCAATTAGAAACCACAAAACCTTCAAACCCAAAACTAATCAAACTACAAACCCCAAACCTACAAACCCCCAAACTAATCAAGCTTCCCAGAGCAGCTGTGGCTGCCCCTGGATCCCTGGAAGTGTCCCAGGCCGAGTTGGAGCACCCTGGGCTGGTGGAAGGTGTCCCTGCCCAGGGCAGGGGTGGCACTGGATGGGCTCTGAGGTCCCTCCATCCCAGCCATCCCAGACTGTGGGATGTCCCACAGCACAGGGCAGCAGGGAGGGGTCCCCACAGTGAGACCCCCGCTCCCTGCCCAGCCAGGGCCATGTCCTGTGTTGGCACACAGAGCCCCCACAGCCTGGCAGTGCCGCAGGGTGCCCGGCCACCAGCCCAGCAGCCAAATTTAGCATGTAGGGCAGGGCTCAGGGACCCGAGCGAGCTCACACGGCCTTATGTAACTGCTCCACTTGCAGGGCATTCCAGGCACGGCCTCGGCAAAGGCTGTGCCCAGCTAATGCTGCTGCAGGCAAAGGGCACAGTCCTAATGACCACGCTGGAGCCTCAGTGTGCACCACGGGGGAACCTTAAATCACCTGCTCAGCCCCCTGCCAGCCTGGCAGCTCCAGGGTGTACCAGCCACTCTGCAAATAGGTCAGGCAGGAGCAGCAAAATATCTCAGACTATCGGGCTAAATCAATGACCCTGAGGCAGGCTGAAAAGCAAGACAGGCTTTAATACAGAAAATGAAAAGGGAAAAAACCCTAATGTATGAAAATGGCCGTGTCTGATACAGAAATCCCTGTGTAATTACACGTCCTGTTTCCCAGCATTCAAATGTAAGGCATCAACTCCCAAACTGACATTCCCCTCTGTCCCCATAAGCTGCTTTGGGGGGACATTTGCTAATTCAGCTCCCTGCCAAAACCCTGGGGGGTTTGCTATTTGGAAATTAAAGCTAAGTCTGTGGGCAGATACAATGCAGGTTTCCCCAACCCAAAGTTCTTTAATAGAGAGCTGGAGTGAATCCATGCAGGGTTCCCACCCCTGGGTGTGTCAGGGCCAGCAGGTGCTGCGGCTCCAATGCCCCAGGCACGCCCATCCTCCCCACTGCCCATCACCAGGCTTCAAGGAAATCCCGTGATCCCAGTGGAAGGTGTTCTTGCCCAAGGAACCCAAAGCAGAGATGATTCCATGAGTTCTCCCTGATCCCGCTGTCCAAGCGCTCCCTTGCCCAGCCCAGTCCCAGCCAGGCTGGACAGTTTGGTGCCCTGGGACTGCCCCCCCTCACAACAGGCCATGATGTGTTTACACCTGCCAGAACTGCTCCGTGAGCACAATAATCAATCCCTGCTCCAGGATTGCTTCATCTCCACAAGATACTCCAGGGGAAGAAACACTGTCAAAAGCCTTTTTTTGGAAGTTTAGGTACAGTACATGAGATGGTCTTTAAAAATGGAATTAGATAATTGATTTAAAAATGTATTGAGCCATGGCAGAAGCCTGAGGGGCACAGAACCCCCAATTTCCTTGCACAAAAGCTGGGATAATTCTCTTCCTGATGGTATCACATTATTGATGTATCTACTAATTCTGCTGCTTTTTGCTTTCAGCTACACAATAAAAACACTCAAAGATCCCTAAAAAGAAAGATTTTAGCCAAATACAGGATATGTACCCTGCAAATGTGGCAACAGGCATCACTAAAGAGGCTGAAGAAGTGAGAGTGAATGTTCCAGCACATCAGGAAATAAATTAGGTTGCCCAGAGAAGCTGTGGCTGCCCCTGGATCCCTGGAAGTGTCCCAGGCCAGGTTGGAGCACCCTGGGCTGGTGGAAGGTGTCCCTGCCCGTGGCAGGGGGTGGCACTGGATGGGCTTTGAGGTCCCTTCCAACCTAAGCCATTCCAGGATTCCATGCCCTGAGCTTACAGTGCTGCCAGGCCAATACTAAAACCATGGTGGGAATGGGAATATCCAGGCAGGTGCAGTTCAATATTCCACATTGATGTGATTATCATCATGGAATCAGGGACAGTTTGGGTTCCACCAGCCCAGGGTGCTCCAGCCTGGCCTTGGACACTTCCAGGGATCCAGGGGCAGCCACAGCTTCTCTGCCCAACCTGTGCCAGGGCCTGCCCACCCTCCCAGCCAGCAATTCCTTCCCAATATCCCATCTCTCCCTGCCCTCTGGCAGTGGGAAGCCATTCCCTGTGTCCTGTCCCTCCATCCTTTGTCCAAAGTCCCTCTCCTATTCCCACAAATCCTATTCCCAAAGCCATTTGTTGTCCAGCAGCTCGTGCCAGAGTTCCAGGCCTGTCCTGGAATTGCCAGCTCCTGTCAAAGCCCTCCAAATCAATCTGCTGTGAAAGCTCAAGGGACAACCAACAAATTATTCACATTTATAAACATTTTGACAGTTTGAAAAATAACAGAGCAGGATTTTACACGCAGAACCCGAAATGCAAAGTTCCTGTACCCACCCAGACATCCCTAAACAAAGTAACAGTGGGACAAACCCAAAAGGCAACAGCAGGAGAATCCACCCGTGCTGAGCCACAAAGCACCTGCAATCCAAGGTCTGAACAACCCAACCCAGGTCTCAGTTAATGCTCAGACTCAAATCATTTGGCACAGGTCAGAGAAATCAATGTACAGAAACTATCTGAACTGGAGAGCTGAGATTTTGGGGCTCACAGGTTCCCCCAGTTCACCCTCCAAACCCAACCCAAAGCCCCCCACCTTGCCTGACATTATTCCTTGCTGGGGCAGAATCCTCTCCCTCCCACAGAGGAGGATTTCAGCCAAACTATTGTCAAGGAGGGGCTTAAAAACCCAGGAAAACTATTTAATTGTCCTATTTGAACCATTTTAAACACTGCATTCAGGGGCTCCTGAGAAGCAAGTCCCAGCTGGCTGGAAATGTTGTGTTTTCCCCCCAAACCCGTCTGGTTCAGAGCTCCCAAAGCAAGGGAAGGCTTTTCAGGTTCACTGGGGTTTCAGGTCTCCAGGGAACATTTCCCTGCCGTCAGGGAGTTCAGCTGGGGAGCCCTGGGGGCAGCCCAGGACTGAGGACAAGCCACACATGACTTCAGTGGCAGTTGTGCCAGGTTCATCCTGCCTTTGGAAGGAGTTTCCCGAGGGGTTTTTGGAGTGGAAAACAGAGACAAACCTCTAATGGGAGAATTTGGGATTATTTTGTCACTGAGTTCCCACTGCCAGCTTTGGGCTGGGAAATATCCAGTCACCCTGCCACTGTAAATTAGAATTAATAATCACCAAAAGGAAGCATTACCTGTCTCCCAGGAAAAACCACAGCTCTCCACTTCCCTATTCCCTGTCCCTCATCCTCAGAAGCTCAAATACCATTCCCATAAAAAGGATTACTCTGCCCCAACCTTGTTTCCAGACAGCAGGGTTTAATTTTCAAAAAATGCTTACAAGAGATTGAATTATTTTGCAGAAGGACAACCTGATTGGTTCCCTTGTCACACCAAAAATCCCCCTGGGAGTAAATCCCCCCATCTGCCCCGGGTGTGCTGCTGCAGGAATAAAGCCCACAGGCATTAAAGGCTTTGCTGCAGTGGATGTGCTTCTTCCAGGGATCACATTTGGGGTTTCTTTGACTTTTTATTTTCTTTTCACTGGGCCAACTTCTTCTCTGAGTTTTCAGGAGCATACAAATACAATATATTTTTTTCCTACCCATTTTCACTTCATCTCTTTTAAACACAAGCCCTCAAATTGACATTTCTTAAATCTGTTATGCAAAACTCAACTGTTTCTTGAATCCTTGAATGAGAACAAGGAAAGGAAAGCCAAACATGGGTAAATTTCTGACTGAATTTCTTCTCTAACAGGAAAAAAAACCCACCCCAAACCCCCACACAAATACCTCCTGAGCTGGCTCCTATTAAGTCATGACTAACCTCTGACTGAGATTGTGCCCAAGAACTAATTTCCTCAGAACCTCCCAGATCATCTGGTTGCTCACAGGAAGATTCAGTGCCTCAGCAAATAAATAATCAATGGACCTGTGGTGGGAGGTTCACTATCTCAAGTATTTAAGGAAGCAGCTTTGACCCTGTTGGTCCTTATCCCTCTGCTATTAAGCAGCACAAATAAACAGCAGCCAGGTCAGCTGGGAACATTCATCCAGGGAATATTTATAGCAGGAAGCTGGATGCACAGCACATCCACACAAACCCTCCAGTCACACAGGCCAGCAATTCCTTCCCAATATCCCATCCATCCCTGCCCTCTGGCAGTGGGAAGCCATTCCCTGTGTCCTGTCCCTCCATCCCCTGTCAATGGTCTCTCTCCATGATTCCTGGGGCTCCTTCAGGTCCTGGAAGGCCACAATCAGGTCACCCCAGAGCTTCTCTTCTCCAGGCTGAACAACCCCAATTCTCCCAGCCTTTCACTAAATCCCTGCTAAAGCACTTGTTCTTCCATCCACTTTTCACACAGGACTAACATATTAGATAGATTTTTCTTTTCAGGCTTCATTCCTGCTTGAGGGAAATGTCCCAGAGGCTGGAGGGACATCCCTTCCTGCTGCTCAGGTGATGGAATCTCTCCCACCCAGCAGAGTCAGGAATGCAGCCAGCACAGACCCAACTATAGGAAGATGACTTGACAGGTGTGCAGAAAATCAAACATTGCCTACAAATCCCTAAATTTCTTTAATTTTGTCCTTCTTCTGCTGTTTTAATTAATACTTTTTTCCTAACAACAAGCCCTCTGGGCAAAACAAATGAATGTAGTGGTTATCATGGCTCCCTATGGGGCTGGCCATGGCCTACGTGCCAGAACCAGCTTTGGGAAAACCTTCCCTAATTCTTTGAAGATCCTGATGGGAACAACTTTGCCTGCAACAGTGATGAGCTGTGCAGAGGGTCCCCAGTGGGGTGACAGAGCCCTGAGGACAGGAGCAGTGTGGATGCCACAGGCAGGACCCACAGCAGGGCAGCCCCCAGCCAAGGGACAGCACTGTCCTGTCTCCATCCCCTGGGACACCCCCTGGGCACAGCCTGGGCTGGTTCTGGGCCCCCAGGACAAGGAATGTTCTGGGACTGGACCAAGTCCAGCCGAGGCGGCCAAAAGTGTCACAGGGCTGGAGCACGAGGAGGGTGGAGAGACAAGGGAGCTCTGTTCAGTCCTGCAGGGATCTGCTCCCCAGCTGGGCCAGCCTGGAGCACAGGAACAATGCAGAGCCCGCTCCATGGAGGGCTGGGGGGCACTCAGTGGGCACAGCAGCATGGAATCTTGGAATGGGTGGGGTTGGAAGGGACCTCAAACCCATCCAGTTCAACCCAGGACAGCTGGGCACACACACGAGGAAGTGCCCAACAACTCGTGAAGGGTCAGACCTGGGTGTCAGTGTGATCCCAGGTGCTGCCTTGTCCCCCAGTCCCTGCCAGTGCCCTGTTTTTCCCTAGAAGGATCCAGCAGGGTGGAGTGATGGTCCTGCCATAACCTCTCATGTTCCAGAGAGGCATTTGGGACACACCAGGAACATCCAGCCAGGAATCCTCCTCTGGCTGATGAGAGCTCAGCGTCTCCACCTTGGACTAGTCAGGACAGCTCAGACAAAGCTGGCTGGGAGTCAATCCAGATAATGCCTGGAACTCTCACTGTGAGCACCAGGAGTGGCTGAGGGAGCTGGGGGGGCTCAGCCTGGAGAAAAGGAGGCTTAGGGGGCACCTTCTAATTTCTGAACCTTTTCTTTGCCTCCTGACTCCCTTCTCCTGCCTGTCCCTGACCTCTCCCTGAGCCCTCTCTCTCTGCAGCACATCCTTGACCCCAGCTGCAACAGGGGCTCTCAGAGAAGTTGGGAATGTCATTGTTGTGTGAAGGAGCAGCTTATCTGAGCTCAGAAAGTCTATTTACAGCCTCCCTTTCATGCTCCTTCCTAGCAAGGAGTACAACTACAATGTCTCCATTCTCTTCCTTGATTAGTCCTGTTATTCAGGAAACTCTGGCAGCTTAGCAACAAATTCTGATGACCTAAAAAACTTCCACACACCAAAAGGCAATATTTGGGGAACACAGAAGAGCTCAACTGGAGGGGAAAATAGTATGGTAACAGCTGAAGTGTCCACTCACTCCACACCCTCTTCCTTGGCTTTCCTTCTGAAGGATATTTGCTATCCATACCAGCCAGCAAACAAAACTCCCACCCCCCCCAATGGCTTTCATCCATGTTTGTTTGGCTGCTCTCCCCTTATCCTTTAATTCTTAGGAGCAATTAGGTTTTCAGTTAAAGCTTTCAAAGAAAACAACCCCAAAATCCTACAAACAATCCCCTTAGAACATGAATACATTCCTGCATCACTTCTATGGGATGGTTTTGATGAACCTACACGACACAGAGTTACTTCTAATCCCTGTTACCCTCTGGAATAGCTCTGATATCCCTCTTGGTGGCTTGGCTTCCTGGCATATATTAAGTTCTTGTATGTAATGTTATTCTGTAATAAATTGATACTTGGATCTATAAAGGAAGACTGATTTAAGGGTGGAGGGTTTTCTCCTGTGTAGGGAAACATCAACTGTTTGGAAACCACTTCTGTGGCAAAGATCAGGAGTCACAGAACACCAGGGGGAGACACACTGGAACAAGATCAAACACATATAATTCACCTTGCAGTTTGCTTTTTTTTCAGAATTGTCCTGATTTTTTACCTCCTCCAGTTGCGCATGCAATCCTTGGGCAGGTTTCCAGCCAGCCTTACCTGCTCCTGCCTCATCTGCTCCATCATTTCCATGAGGCTGATGAAATGGTGACAGGGCTCCGAGTGCCCGACCAGGGCGGTGGGGAAGGGCTGGCTCTGCCAGAGGCTCCACTCGCACAGGGAGAGCAGCCGGACTGCCCCCTGCTCCTGCTCCTTCTCCTGCGGCTCCTGCTGCTCCTGCCGTGGGAAGGAGGGTGGAAAGGACACTGCAGTCAAGGCATTGCTCAGCAGGACTCGGGCACTCCTCTGGCACGACTTGAAATGCAGAGAAATGTTTAAACAACAACATCACAAAGGTTTAATTCTGGTCCAAAGTTAAAACTTCACAGCACCCTGGGCTGGTGGAAGGTGTCCCTGCCCATGGCAGGAGGTGGCACTGGATGAGCTTTAACATCCCTTCCCATACAAACCATCCTGGGATTCTGTGAATGCAGCATCCTGCTTGGAATTCTTAAGAACAGCAACAGAACTTAATGGACACTGAGAGACTTCTTGGGATATTTTTGATTTACAGACCCAACCCTCAGTGACCCATTTCAAACATCCCACTGCTAAATTCCTCACCTCAAAACCTGCATGTAAATCTCAAAATGGCTTTTTTAACACAGACCTCCTTCAAACTCAGAGTTACCTCTGACATTTACAGTGTCCTTTAGGCCTCATGCAAAGGAAATACGACATTAAAGTCAAACTCACTGGTATTTCTTCCAGGTTTTCTAAGGTTGCAAACTGAGTTTGAGGCAACACCGGTTCCTTTATTCCATCACTCTCCTTAATCCTGTAGAGTCTGTCCCATATTTCATATTCCTCAGGTGACAGGGACCAGTTCTCATGAGAGACAGTTTGCTTCTGGCCTATGGGGGGACACAGGGAGACAGAGAGATACAAATCACTACCCAAAATAATGCCAAAATAATGCCCTCCAAACTGCTGGGGAGGAACGGCAAAGGAGCCTCCCCAGAACAGTGCCAGGGGTGGGGCTGCTCTCAGGGCACGTGTGTGAGGCTTGGAGAGGAATAATGGAGTTAATTTGGCAGTGTCTCTGCAGACAGGATTTGGGATGAATGTGCAGCCCAGGCTCTGGTGGGAATTAATTCCAGATAAGAGGAATCAGCCTGTGTCTCTCAATCCTCTCAAGTTACAGTTGCCAGAGTCTGAGACTCCAACCCAGATCCCTGAGAGTCCAGAGTCCGGCCCAAAAAAAGTTGGAAAAATGAGCACTGAAGTTTTTTAAGGCCATCACTAAAAATCCCAGAAAATCATCATTGCTATGAAGTATTTTTTACTCCAGTGTAGGAGATGTTCCACTCCTTTAAGATAACACCCAGTTCAAGGACCTGGAAGAGGAGGACAAAAGAGACAGACCTGAAGGAAAAGCAAATTAGAAACACTTCTCAGAGAAACACAGAGAATCATGGAATCATGGAATGCCCTGAGCTGGTAAGGACCCTGAGGACCATCCAGTGCAACCCCTGGCCCTGCCCAGGACACCCCAACAATCCCCCCTGTCCCTCAGAGCGTTGTCCAAACCCTCCTGCAGCTCTGGCAGCCTTGGGGCCGTGCCCACTGCCCTGGGGAGCCTGTTCCTGGTGAGCTGTTGCCATCCAGACACATCCAGGGAAGCTCTGGGAACAACAGATGACGTCAGCTCCCTGTGTGACAGCTCCAGCCCCGTGTGTCAAAGACAAGATGAGCCTGTGATATCATCAGCCCAGGTAACACGTGCTGCAACTCCACCAAGGAGGCCTCCAGGAGCTGGCGAAATTCGGGAACAGATGATTCCCAAAGCTCTGGGCTTCCTGCTTCTGAGCAGAGTAAGGATTTTGGCTGTCAAGAACAGTCCTAAGCATTCTTCTGGAAGGAAAGAAAGGGACACAGACACAAGAAGAACATTCCCATTCTGACTGAGACTGATAAGGCTGTTTGGGTACACGGGTGGGAATTACCAAGTCCTGTGGAATTCAGTCACTGGCAAAGCCTCTGACCCTCATGGGAGGCAGCACATGCTCATTATCTTCCAGAACATTTTATGTTATGGATGCAATGTCCTACCAAACACAAACAGATCATTCAGATCATCCCTGTTATTGTCCTGGTTCTTCCCCAGAACCAAAACATTTCCATTCTCCTTGAAGGGGAGCAGAGGAAGAACCAGCCTCGAGGGGGACAAGAAGGGGGATTAGCCTGTAGCCAGCAGGGAATTTGTCAGTTCTCAGAACCACAGAGTCCCAGAATCCCTGAGGCTGGCAAAGCCCTCCCAGCCCATGGATCCCCCTGTGCCTGATGCCCACCTTGTCCCCAGCCCAGAGCACTGAGTGCCACTCCAGGCCTGCCTTGGACACCTCCAGGGCTGGGCACTCCAACCCTCCCTGGGCAGCCCCTGCCAGGGCCTGACCACCCTTTCCAGGGAGCCTTTTCCCCTTTGGGACCTCAGTGCTGGCCACCTTTGGTGCCTCTCAGCCCCCCACACCCCCTGTGCCTCATCTGGTTCCCACAACAGGAACGTGGCAACCCCAGCTCTGCAGCTGCTCCCTCAGCAGGAACACACTCAGCATTATCATCTTTATGCCCTCACTGCCTCGTTTCTCTTTTCTAGGACAGACCTACCAACGCCCTGAAATGGTGATTTTCACTCCATGTTGTGCTCTGCTTATTTCCTTGCAGTTGTGTCTGTTTAATCAGGTACTGGAATATGAAGTTTCCCAAGCCTTTAAGGAGTTTCAAGAAGTTGCTGTTGGTCTTTACAGAAAGCACTAACAAGGAGATAGACCACTACAATTCCCCAGTACTTACTAAAAAGTAGGTCTTTTTTCCTATCTTATGACAGTGTTCACTTTCTTGAGCATTTCAGTGCCATGTAACTGCACCAGCTGAAGAGCCATTCCTCCTTTTAGACTAACGTTCCTCCAAGGGAGTGCACAATTCATGAATACCCTGCCCTTGATTGCTCCTTTTCCTCCCCTCACAATCCTCCTGATTTCAAGCACTGTTGTGTTATTGTCATCTATGAAGCCATAATGCCCAGAGAAGCTGTGGCTGCCCCTGCATCCCTGGAAGTGTCCAAGGCCAGGCTGGACAGGGCTTGGAGCAACCTGGGCTAGTGGAAGGTGTCCCTGCCCAACCCAAATTATTCTGGGATTCTTTGATTAACATTTGCCTCTTCTGTTCCCAGCTGGAGTTCCCAACCTTCAGTCAGTGACTCTGTGGTGGAGGATGAACCAAGTGCCTGATTGAGGGCAGGGATATTTCCAGCCTGAGCTGTGGATGTCCAAGGAGAGGCTGAGGAGCAGCAGGGCCAGCCCAGTGTCCCAGCTGGCAGGGGTGGCTCTGCAGAGCCCTGGCAGAGGCGGGAGGGATGTGCTGTGACACAAACACGCCATGGCAGCTTACGCAGCGCTTAGAGAAACACCATAATCCTCTTACCAATGACACAGGAAAAGGGAGCAGATTTGTGCTGCAGGGAGCTGGATCTCCTCTCTTTGCAGAGCACCCTGGAGTTGCCTGGCTCGTACTTCTCAGCAGTGATAAACATTTTATGCACCTGGGGGTTGATGCCTTCTGGAACCATCCGTGGGCTGTGCTGGTAGAAATGAAGGGTTTTGTTCCCCGAAATGGCTTTGTGGATGCTCCTTTTGCTACACTGGCTTTGGTTGTAAGTCTGGAAGGAGAAGATAAAGAGAGAAGTCACATGCTGATTGCTTGTTTTGTCACAGGACTCAATCTAAACTCAAGGAGCACCCGCGTGTCTGTGGGGTTTCTTGTTATTGTCTGTTCCCTCAAGGAGGTGGTTTTTGGTTTGGGGTTTTTAACCAGAGCAGAAGCAGACACAGCACTGGGGAGAAAAAGCAGCACAGCCCTGTCTGGGGGAAGTTCCAATGAGCCATTGATATGGGGGTGATGGAAATGAGGTTACATCAGAAACTGAGAAAGGAGGCCAAGCAGAAGAAAGGCAGAAGATGATTTGTTGATGTCATACGTGCTCTGAGTCCTTTAATTACACCCTACTTTATTGTGCAACAGAGAAAGCAAGACAAGGCTGCAGAATGTAAGGGAAGAAAGCAGTGTTCTCCTCTGGGTCCCTGGGACAGGCCACTGCTGTGGCTGTCCACACGGGCTGTCCCTGAGTGGGACAGCGTGGCAGCCACGACCTGGCACAGATCTCTGGGGGCAGGGGCAGAGGTGACAACCCAAAGGCAGGCTCTGAACACAGCAGAGATCAGCAGCCAGCTCTGACAAACGGCCCTTCGGGCATTCCAACAAACTGCCTCTTCATTCTACAACATCCCAGAAAATCCTGGCACAATCCTAGAAATAAAAAGGTCTCTTTATGGCAAAAAATGGTGCTACCAAGTCCCTCAACAGCGCTGTCCCTGTGCTGCTGCTCCCCTTCCCTGCTCCCGGGGCAGCTCCGAGCCCTGCACCCCATCCCAGTCCAGCAGCCCCGAGTCCAGCAAGCTGAGCTGGGGAACCCAAAACACCAGGGACCCCAAATGCAGGCCCATTCCCTGCCAGCTCAGGGCCCAGGACACACGTGATGTGGGGCTGCCCCGGGAAACACGTGGGAGCTGAGGAATAAACACAGGGATCCCTGCCAGCCTCACACTGCCAGGCCTGCACAAACACCATGGGCTTCACAAGCTGGGCAAGGCAACTGAAGTGGTTTGATTAAAAAAAAAACCCAACAAACAAACCAAGCAAAACCAAGAAAAACCCAAACAAACAAAAAATCCTCCCCAAACACAAAGAAACAAAAAAACCCCCACAAACCCCCAACATTCCCACAAATTATGAGGGACCATAATGACCATTCATTATTTAGCTGCATGTTATGTGATGGGAAAGAATCTCCACATTAATAGAACTGGAAGGAGACTCAATCTTAAAAAATCCAACAACTACCCCAAAAAATACCCTCCAGCAAAAACAACAAACAAACCAAACCCATACTGTTCAGCAATTAAATTTATTTCCTGATCTCAAAATAATAACAAAAATGATCTACAATTACTGTTCTACGTGGGGAAGGTTCTGCTGTAGAGATTTCTGAGAAAATCTGGAGAACACAGTAATCCAGGTACTTAAGTGAAGCTCCAAGGAATTTAAAGGACTATTCTATATCCCATTACAGAGAAGAGCTCTCAGTAGTAACCAGCCCGCATAAGTAGCATGAGAAAACATCTATTCACAACCACCACTCAGGTTTGTCATTTTTAACCCTCATCCCTCCAAAGTTGCTTTTTTCCCCCTCAGGCAGGATCCTCTCACTCAGAATGAAATCCCTGCCACCCACAAACACAAACCAGAGCTATGACATCGACTGGAATACATGAACACCAAGACTCGGAAATTTTGGGTGTACAATTGGCTCACACAGATCTTGCCCTTATTGTCCTGCACCCTCTCACCGGAGATGGCAGCAGGGGCTGCCTGGTGCAGCCTGCCCAAATCCTGCCCTTCCCACAGCGTGGATGAGCCCAGGCTGTGCAGGGCCGTGGGCTGCAGCTGGCACAGCTATGGTGGGCTCCCTGGCTCACAGCTTGGGTTTGCAGTGTCCCACGGGGTTCCCAAGGGACAGCCTGTACTCAGGGATGATTAACCACGCTCCACTTGAGTGCTGAGGTTCAGGAACTCAGCCAAAGTGGATTTCCCCTAAGCTGATCTGCTCAGACCTCACACGCAAGAGCAGCCACTGAGCTCTGCTCTGAGCACACAGTGTCGTCACCAGCCCAGGACCAGTGCTCCCAGTGCTCCCAGTGCTCCCAGTGTCATCATTCGAGGACAGGACAGGCTGGGAGAGCTGTGAGTGTTCACCTGGAGAAGAGAAGGATCCAGGGAGACCTGAGAGCCCCTTGCAGGGCCTAAAGGGGCTCCAGGAGAGCTGGAGAGGGACTGGGGACAAGGGATGGAGGGACAGGACACAGGGAATGGCTTCCCACTGCCAGAGGGCAGGGACAGATGGGATATTGGGAAGGGATTGCTGGCTGGGAGGGTGGGCAGGCCCTGGCACAGGTTGGGCAGAGAAGCTGTGGCTGCCCCTGGATCCCTGGAAGTATCCAAGGCCAGGTTGGAGCACCCTGGGCTGGTGGAAGGTGTCCCTGCCCATGGCAGGGGTGGCACTGGATGGGCTTTGAGGTCCTTTGAACCCAACCCATTCCAGGATTCTGTGACAGTTTCCCAGGACAGACTGAAGAAGGAGACTGAGGGCAGAGCTCAGAGGGGGCTGCAGCTCCGATCTCTGCTCCCTGTGAGCAGGGCCAGGGCCAGGGGCTGTGTCCCTCCCAGCGCACTCACCCTCTCCTCGCGGCCCTGGGCGAGGATGACGACGATGCGGCCGTGGCGGCGCCGGCCGGTGCGGCCCATGCGCTGCACCAGGCGCACGGGGCTGCGCTGGGCGTCGAAGCACACGATCAGATCCACCTCCCCGATGTCCAGGCCCTCCTCCCCCACGCACGTGGACACCAGCGTGTTGTAGCCGCCCTCCCGGAATCGCCGCACCACCTGCACGAGGCACTCAGGTCAGATTGACCAGGGCAGCGCCGTGGCCCTGCAGCTTTTCTAGGCTGGAAACAGTAATTTACACTGTAAAATGCCCAAACTTAGTCCTTCTAAATCAACTGCTACCTCTCGATCAAATCCCACACACCAACGTGACCAACATCAGCACTTCAACTGTTTAATTCCAAAATGAAGGAAAAAAGGCACACCTTAGTCTGACTCCAACCATGACATTCTTCTAACACTGATCCTCCCACTGGGCAATTAAATATCTTTGGGGTTGTCTGGCTTTTTTAACTTTGCTAGGTCAAAATTTAAGGACAGATCTTATCTTTCCTGCCTACAAGAAAAAAGAATTCCCTAAGCACATATTTGAATATTCCCCCCGACTTTTAATACATACAGGTCAACAGTTGCTAATATACAAATAAATAGAATGCAAATATATGAATAGTTTATATTGTATATTCTGTTCAGTGAGTATAATTTTGGGTCCTCTGAAAGGCACTGAACTCCACCAGCGACAGTGAAAGTTCAGCCACTTCCACACAGTGTGGAGTTATGTACACAGTTAATGCTCTTTATCACTATTTCCTGGCACGGTCTCCTCTTTTCTGTACCTCCAGCTGCTCCTTTTGGGTGAAGCCTTTGGTGCTCTTGCCTGTGGAGTGTCCCACGAACGTCATGGCCCGGACGGCCGGGCTGAGGCGGGACAGCATCTCCGCAATCTCCTGCACGCTGTCCCGGAACGAGGAGAAGATCATCACCCTGGTGTCCCCAGAGGGGCCTTCACTCCCCTCCTGCTCTGTTGGATCGGAAAAACAGGCAGGATTTCAGTGGAATTAGTAATGAAAAAGGACAGGGCATCAGACAAATTACATGTTCACAGTTCCCACCTCACTCCGCGGGCAAATGGACAGAAAACACTCCAAGATACTCCTCCTGGAAAATCTCCCTCTGGAATCAAAGCAGTGCTCTAACACTGGAGAACAGACACCAAGCACGCTGAGAATGCCCCTCATCTGGGGTCCCATCCCTGAGGTTCCTCTGGAAAGCTCAGGCTGCAGGGCAAGTGCCTTGCAATGAAGTTCAGCATTCCGTGTTCTTCTGGCCAGGCACTGGAACAGGTGCCTGGGGAAGGCTGGAATCAGCACCCCTGGAAGGGCTGGAAAGGCCTGTGGATGGGGCAGCTGGGCACATGTAATTCGTGGCCACAGGCTGGATCTCACAACTTTTATCTTCAAGCTCCTTAAATATGCTCATCTGAACTCTGCAGGAGGCAATGGCAGCAGAGCCCCCAGGGAAGGGCCCAGAGCAAACCCTGGGTTTGCAGGGCAAGCAGGAGACACGGAAGCACTAGGAGTGAGTTTATTATCTCTGTTTCACTCAGTTATTGGAGCATTTTACAGCAAATTAAAAATGAGAACTCATAGGACATTTTGTCTTGCAGAAATCTTATGGTAGTTCTTCTAGAGAGGACTTTTCCACACAGAGGATACACAAACATACAAATTAGCACAAATTAGGAATCAGTGGGATATTACTTGTTTCCACCCCCAGGTTCAACTGGTCAAGCACTTTTTGAGTTGTTGGTACTTACCAGAGCACCTATTTTTCCAGGATTTGAAGTGTTCTATTACAATTTCCTCCAATTTCCTTAATTTTGGATGGCTGTAGATGAATTCCTTTTTCTTATCCAGTGCTAGAAAGGCAATAAAGCAGTGAAAGACATAGGTAAAGCGGCAAAAGGCATGAAGGTTTAGTGAACTTCATTCCCTCCCATTGGAACTATCCGAGTCGGATACACAAATTCCTGACACTGATTCTAATTGCATCAACCCACAGAAAATAATAAACTAATGACAGAAGCACATTTGTAAAACCCAATTTTCTGTTACTTTTGTTACAATGGAAAAGACATTCAGTCAAATAGTAATATTTTAACCTTCATTTTAAATCAAATGAAAAACTTCAAACACAGAAAACTGGTTTGGAAGTAGCTAAAACCACCAAGGGAAGCGAGAGAGGGAGTGAGAGAGGGAGGGGACTATTGGAAAGACAACCTGGAATAAAGAAGAGTAGCCACGTGCAGCACAACTTTTAAACAGGAATAGTGTGTGCCTGAGAGGGGAATCCTGACCTGTGTTACTCCTGCAAACACCTGCAGTGTCTGGAGCCACAGCCATGTCTGAGAACATGTCCTGGAGGTGCTGGTAGAGCCCCATGAAGTCCTCGTTACGCCCCAGCTCGTTCTTCGTGCGGGTCAGCCCTTTGGAAAGAGTTGGAACACCTCAGGATTCAGTTTGCTTTCCCAAATGTACACTGCTAATGTGTTTCCAGTTGGGATGAAGGGAATAAACACCACTTCCATTTGCAACCCACTTATTCTGTAAGCTGCCATAGAGATGAGGTGAATGAAAGGGAGGATGTCTCTGGGGACATTTCACCTTTGGCTCCATCCATAATTCCCCAGAGGTAGATGAACAAGGACCGGACTCCCATCTGCAGCAGCAGCTCATACCCATGGTACAGACTGATACAGAGGGCAAAGTCCCCTTCAATGACGCCCTGGAGGACTCCCTGTGAAACAAAACAGATCATCACTGAATTGGGAAGTGACTGAGGAGCAGGAATCACACTGCATTTCCTGACCAAAACCAGACTGGTGCCTGGGGAGCAGAGCCAAAGCCCCAGCTGATGCCCAGCGAGCAGTTTGTCTATCCCAACCCTCAGGGAACAGATTTCACACAGCCCACTGGAGGCACTCCTTCTCCACCTCCAAAATGCTCTCCAAAATACCTGTGTTATCCTCCAGGATTAGCTCATCTCCCCTCAGTCTCCGCCAGCTGAACCATCCACCCATCTGGATTTGGCAAAACAAGGGATTTCTGGCATATCCTACCCAAGCTATGACATTAAGGCAGGAAAGTTGCCTTGCTTACTGTGAAAGGGATTTCCCAATGTTCTTCTTAAGGCACACAGTGTTTTTTAAGGCAATGTTCTTTAAGATTACAAAATTTGACCACTCCCTGACAACTTTCCGAAAAATAGGAGCAGGAATGTAGCTTTGAGGGGAAAGTGTGAACTTTGCTGAAAGTCCAATCTAAGCCCTCAAAACAATTTCACTTTGGAAATGGAGCCCTTCATCTTTCCCTTAACTTTTCTGTATTGCCATCCAGAAACATGGAACAGTTAAGTACATTTTATAGATTTCATAGATGATCCTTACGGTCCCTTCCAACCCAACCATGCTATGATTCTATGATAATTTATTCCAGGGCTAAAACCAGAAATCTACTTAAAATGTCTCAGGAAATTTGGTACCTATGGATAATAATTACTATTTCCTCCCCACTTCAATGACATGAAATCAATAGAGACTCTTACCACATGCTGTGAAGAGGGGTTTTTCCTATACTGGTCCCTTGCCAGGATGATCTGGTACTTGGTCAGGTTGGGAATGTCCCGCCTGGCCAAAACTCCCATTCGGATCAGTCGGCCAGTGAATGCCTCGAGCACCTGCAACCCAAACACAGCACTTGGACCTGTTCCCCAGGGATCTGTGCCTCCAGTGCACACACCCCTCCTACCTGCAGGGGAACCTCCATCCATCCTGACACTGGGGAGGGGAAACACACCCTGAGATCTGGAATGGCACAAGGACTGACAGGCAGAGAGGGAAGGGAATGGGATGGACAGCCAGGCCTGGAGCTCAGGCTCCTTCTCTCACTGCTCACATGAACCTGAGTGGCATTTTGGGCACAGAACACTCGTGTTTCTCTTTGGGAAGACCAATTTAGGTGAAAGACCGGCCAAGAGGTCAGATAGCTGTGTGCGGGAGGGATGGGAGATGTGAGCACAGAGGAACGAGCACCAGAAGCATGTCCTGTTTCCTCTGGAATCCACCCCAAAACACACTTAGTTTTCCTCCATCACATGTACCTGCTTTCCACATGGGTGCAACACGCAGAATAACCTGCACTAATGCATCCTAATCCTGTTTTTCCTCTTTGTTTCGCAGCCTTAGGTGGTCAGGGTTTTTGCCCAGACTTAGTTTGGCGTGAGCGCTAACTCGGCCGTAATCGCAGTAATCAGCTTTGTCCCACAAACGCTGTTTACAACCTGTTGGTCCCTTGGCCAATGGCCCCAAAAACATCTCGGTGCACAACAACAGGCTCTCCAAAGGCACTTCCCTGTGCCTGCATCCATGCACACCGTGTTTCCCCAGCTTTCCAGCCACTCCAGCACCAGCACAGCTGCCCTGCACTAAGAGGGCTATAATGTAGCAAATCCCTTTAGCGTCCCTTCAGCCCCCTGAAAATCATCCACCTAAACCAATAAAACCAGGCCTAAACCAGGCCAGCCAGGCACTCCTGGAGCTGGTGAGGAGAAACTCAAAACACAGTCCCAGAACGGTTTGGGCTGGAAAGGACCTTAAAGCTCCTCTCGTTCCAATCACCTGCCATGGGCAGAGACACCTTCACAGAGCATGGAATATCCTGAGCTGGAAGGGACCCCAAGGACCATCCAGTCCAATCCCTGGCCCTGCCCAGGACACCCCAACAATCCCCCCTGTGCCTGAGGGATCATTCAAACCCTCCTAGAGCTCTGGCAGCCTTGGGGCCGTGCCCACTGCCCTGGGGAGCCTGTTCAGTGCCAACCACCCTCTGGGGGAAGAGCCTTGTCCTGAGATCCCACCTGAGCCTGCCCTGGCACAGCTCCAGCCATTCCAGGGTCCTGTCCCTGTCACAGAGAGATTACTGCCTCCCACCAGTCCAGGTTGCTCCAAGCCCCGTCCAACCTGGCCTTGGACACTTCCAGGGATCCAGGGGCAGCCACAGCTTCTCCGGGCAACCTGTGCCAGGGCCTGCCCACCCTCACAGTAACCAATTTCTTCCCAATATCTACTTTAAAGGTAATCTAAAATCCCAAGACAAGGAGCGGGAATAACTGCCATCATCAGCAACAGCTGTGTTAATCCCCCAAGGAATCAGACATGCAGGAGAACTTTGGAAGGGTGAAGGAGACCTTGTGACAGCAGCAGCTGACCTGGGGAGCACCGTGCTGGGGAATTTCCAGCCTGCCCACTCCATCCCACCGGCCATTCCAAACCAGCACTCTGGAGCCAGCAGGATAAGCTGCTTACAGCAGATAAGGGCTGCTGATAAAGGGAAATCATGGAAAGGGAGCCAGAATTCTGAGTGTTTTGGTGCATCTTATGTTATCCTCTTTCCTCTGAGGGTGGGCAGGCCCTGGCACAGGTTGGGCAGAGAAGCTGTGGCTGCCCCTGGATCCCTGGAAGTGTCCAAGGCCGGGTTGGATCAACCTGGGCTGGTGGAAGGTGTCCCTGCCCGTGGCAGGGGTGGCACTGGATGGGCTTTGAGGTTCCTGCCCACCTAAACCATTCCCTGGCTTTACTCTGGCCTCAGCACAGCTCCCCTGCCCATTCCAGGTCTCCTGGGCAGCTGGAGTCAGACCAGCTGCAGGCACCAAACCCCCAGCTGAGGCCAACGGGCTCCCAGGCACTTCCAAGCTCATGTCCAGGTTGTCCTGTATCCCCAGGGATACAGGCCATGGCCTCACACAGCTCCCAGGGAAAGCAAAGCAAGACGCTCCATCCCAAGGCATTCCTTCTAATTAAGGCTAATGGATTAATTAGACCAAATAAACCACTAACACTGCTAACACCATCAACAGGCAAACACCAACTGGAAGCTACAGTAGTGCCAGGAATTTCTGGAGGAAAGGGGAAAAAAACCAAAGAAATCAAATTATGTTTCCTTAAAATACAGTTAAAACCATTCACCAAGGCACAGGGAAGGCTCGATGCACAGGGGTCTCTTCTCATATTAATGAGAACAAAACCAAAGATATGGTTTGGTTGTTATAGTTTCAAATTCAGAACTCTGTGTTTGCCAAGCAGTTTGTTATTGTTCTGTTGTTTTTGGTGGTACCTGACAGTCCCTTTAAAAGGACAGAGGCAGAAATGTCTGTGCCAGCTTACAGAAAAAGGTATTTATAAAATAAACAGAAATGTTGACCATGCAAGGAATAACTCAGTGCTTTTTACTTGAATGGATATCCCTGGAACAGCTCATTACCCTTCCATCAAACCCTGATCAGCTGGACATTGAGGACACTTGAAATGCTGAGGATGAAGCTCAGACTATGTCTGAAGTAGTGGAAATGGAGTCAGCCTGAACACAAATGCTGCTCTAGAAGAGTAATTAATGTTTTCATTAAAGAGCAAAGCCCACTAAGTATAATATTTCAGCTCTGGTTTATTATTTCCTATACATGCTGCAGAGCTGTTTTCTGAAAAGAAATTTTCATTACATGTACTTTTGTGTTTTATCCCTTGACCTAGTTAAAAGGTATAAGAAAATGATACTGTCCCTGTTTGCTCAATGTACACCCCTGTCTGATTTAATCACCTTCTGCAAAACAAACCCAGGCTGACTGTTATGAAAGACAGCGGGATCCAGTCACCTGGAGCTTCAAAACTAACAGGGAACAGTAAACATAACCTACTTAGGAGAGACACAGGCACAGGCTCTGCTCACTGATTGCATTTATCTTGCCTCCATACCTTCCTTTTTAATTACAAAGATAATACTTCTGAAAAAGTCCCCCCAATCTTTCCAAAACATGGCAGTGTCGTGTTCCCCGTTTCACAAACAGACTGGAGAATTAATTTCAATTAATTGCTCAGGAGGGCTCGTGGCTTTCTGCAGCTCCCTAAACAGAGGCCAGAGCTGACAGATTTACAGCCAGCACATCAGACACAACTGGCTGAGCTATCCCACCCTCACTCAACTTGCCAAGAACACAAAGACCTTTTCTGTTCCGAGCTATCTCCCACAGCAAACCACAAGGAGTTCTTGGAGCTCGTACCCAAGATGAGCTTAGAACCTGTTTTTGGAGCTGAGGACTTGTGTTACCAGACAAAGAACTGATACTGTGCCAGCTACACCTCACTAAAACTGCTTTTAATCTGTTTTCTGTTGGCACAATGAATACCAAAGGGTCTAAACTAATGCCCTGGCCTAATTATTTTACTGCAGATTTGAAGGGTTCTTTACCAGAGAAAAACACACATAAATAACTGGGTTTGTAGCACTTCTATCCCAGCAGAGAAGGAGGGTTGGGAGAAAGCAGCTGCTGTGCAGGTTGTACCTCCCCAGACCGAGCACTCCAAGGGTTTACAGCACCCCCAGGCTTCACTGACACACCTGGCTGGGTTTTACACACCACTCTGGGGTTAGATAGAGCTGCCCCTCCCTTCAGCCCCTTCCCCTGGTTCCCAACTCCCACAGCTCCAGCATCTCCAGCGCCCAGTATGGAACCACACACTGGTTTGGGTGGCAGGGACCTCAAAGCCCACGGGCAGGGACACCCTCACCAGCTCAGGGTGCTCCAAGCCCGTCCAGCCTGGCCTGGGACACCTGCACAGCCCCTCCCCACCACGCTGGGGCAGTGCTGAAGGGGTGTGAGGGAAATGAGCCCACACTCGTGTCCAGGAGGTGCCACCACCCCACAGCTCTGTGGGAATGTCATCACACCCCCAGCACTCTGCTCTGCCCTAAAGGGATGGCTCAGCCCAGGAGCAGGGCAGTAACACAAACAGCTCCAGAACAAATCCAGAGCCACTTTCAGTTCTTCACCCTATAAAACTTCACAACCAAACTCTAACTGAGGGACAAAAGTGCTGTTTTGTTCGAGCTTCCTCCTGACATTTCTCACCTTGCCAGGAAGGAAAGGAAAACAACAGGGACACAGCAGGACACGGTGTTTTTAAGCTGATCCTGTCATTCTCCAAACCCAATACTGATCAGCCCGGTAATGATCTTGGCTCTGCTCAGAGTTCTGTGCTAAGTTCACATTAACTCATTCAGACCCTCCCCAGCCTCCCAGGGATGTGTTACACGCTGAGCACACGCTGTTCTTCCCTGGAACATGGGATCCATCAAAAACACCCAATACTCTGTCCTCTTCCAACATCTGACTTTTCTGCTGGTACAGCATTTTTCAGTTCTTAAAGGTTATAAAACAAGAAGATCTACAGTTTTTACTTTTCAACTAATTACACAAAGAACAATTTTACCCTGTCACTTAAGAAGTTATAAGAAAAAAGTGGCTTTTCTGCATGAACCTGCCACTCAGTGAGAGTGACTGCCAGCCCTTCGCCACAGGACATGGAGGAGCATCCCACTCAGGATGTCTCAAATTCACACATATAGAGAAATTTAGCTGTGATTTTAAACAATTTTTCAGGTTATTTTTTCATTTTCTTTTCTCTAATCTCCAGTAACGATGCTTAACAATCCTCTATACAGAAATAACTTCACTTAAACAACTAATTTTCATTATAACTTGAACACACGAGTTGGGACTGTCTTCCCTGGGAAACTGCTGGAATTATTGATGCAGGACAGGCAGAGGAAAAACCTCCACAGGTTGCCCCAAACAGTCCTGTTGTCTCAGGAAGAACATTTTCCTGGAAGAAACCTGCAAGAGCCAGGATGCCCTCACTTGGTAGGAACAACCCAGCTTCCAGAATTCTGTGGAAAATTCCTCACCCACAGCACCGCAGCTGTGGGAGGTGGAGGTGGCTGTGGATGGATGGATCTCACTGTGCCCCCCGGGGGTCCCTGCCCACAGCAGCTGCTCCCCACTGGATGCGAGAGGAGAACCTGGGCACTGCCACAAACCCCCTGCAGCACGTGGGCAGTGAACCCTGCGCTCTGCACTGACCGTGAAATCACATCAGCTCACAGCCAGGCACTCAAACAAGCACCAAAGCCAATCTTCCTCAGGATTTGCCTTCCCAGGGATTTCAGCGCTGGCCAGGATGCTGATTCACTGCCCACAGCCAGGAGGCCAAACACCCCCACCGTGGGGCTGAGCTCCACTCACTGCAGCCACTGCTCGGAACAAACCCTCTCCCGGGATGTTCCCACCAGCAGCTGCTCCTCCCTTACAGATTCCCAAAGGAGCACTTCATAGGAACAGCGGGATCGAGGTCTGTGCTGTCAGGAGCACTGTCAGGACTTGCAGCTCACAGTTCATTGTGCCAGCAAGCTCAGCCCCGGGCTGGGGTAACCACAGCCGAGCCTGGGGGAAAGGTACTGACCACAAACAGGGGAAAAAAGGAGAGGGGGCAGATTAAGCATCACATCAGTAACAAAATGTCCCGTGGCTTTTGCACTCTTAACTGGAATCAGTTTGGAATAATTTTATTCGGTTCAGAGGCCTCCTGAATAAAACGAGAGATCTGTCTTTTAGTCGTGGTAAAATAAAATCACGACAAAGAAGGACAAACGGGACATGCAGTGCAGTGGGGAAAATAAACGATGAAGAGAATAGCTGGGAAAGAGGGAATGAGTGAAAAAAACACTCATGACACAAACTTCTTCAAGTTCTGCACTGCTCAGACCCTACAGCACGTGGGAAGAGACGCTACGGAGCAGCAGGGCGGCCGAGGAAAGTGGCTGTGCGCAGTGCCCGGCTGCCCATCCCTCTCGCCATGTATCTGTTATCTATCCCTCCATCCATCCATCGCCGCACCTCGCGGGCGGCCCTGCCCCGGCGCTGGGCGGGCAGAGGCGGGTGCCCCCGCCCCCAAATCCCTGGGCAGGGCGATCCCGATAAAGCGGCGGGCGCTGGCAGCGGTGCCAGCCCGGCTGCCGGCCATGGAGACGGGCGGGTGCCGCATGGGCGGCGCGGGGCCCGGCGCGATCACGCTGGAGGAGCTGGACGGGCTGGAGGAGAGCCCCGACTCGGCGTACCACAGCCACGGCAGCTCCCTGGAGGAGGAGGCGGCCGAGCGCATGGACGACGAGGAGCAGGAGCGCCTGCTGAGCTACTGGCAGAGCGTGGGCAGGGGGCACCAGGTGGACGTGCCCCGCGGTAAGCGCCCTAAGCCGCTTAGGGCAGCGGGACGGGAGCCGGGCTGCTCCGGAGCGCCGTGCGGGACAGCCCCGCGCCGCGGCAGGCTCTGGGATCCGGCCGGGAAGGCGGGACACAGCGCGGGGCAGGGCACAGCACCCGGTAAGGGGCTGCAGCTCTGCGACCAACGCAGCTAAAGCTTGGCACGGGGCCCTGCAGAGGGGCCGTAACTCAGAGGGGCGGCTGCAGTAGCGCTGGGGGGACTGTGCCTACTGAAAAGCATCAGGGCGAGTTTGCAGTCTTAATTAAACACTGAGCTGGCTACCTGCAAAAGCATTCTTGTTTATAAAAGCTCCTGTCACCTCTTTAAAGAAAGATGGTTGTATTTAAAGATGGCAAAGAGTAAACAAGTAGAAGGATCAACTTTGCTTCTTTGACAGTGAGCTTCTCAGGCTTATCTCAGTCAGAAATTGCTCCTTTTCAATTTTAAGAAAGACTGGAGAGTCTGAAAGACTGTCGCATAACTCCAAACAAGCAGCAGAGTCACTGCAAACTCAGCTCAGTCAGAAACTGTGACTGCTCAGAGAAGCAGAGAGATGTGAACCATCTCTGCTGCTCAGGTAGCCCACCTTCCCCGGGGGGAACCAGCAAACCCTGAACAGACTCTAGACACCACCTAAAGGAAATTACTGTAATCCAATGCAGCAAAGAGAGTCCCAGCTCCTTTTTAAGTCATACCTCCAAGTCTCATCTCGACTTTGTAATGGTTTAACATGCTAAAAGAAGGGTAGGATGAGTCTGAACAGCATTCTCTGCCTTGCCCTGTTCTCAGTGCCCCTCAGAGGGGTCTTTGCTTGCCCTGTGCCAGCAGTGCCATCCCACAGATTCAACACACACTCCAGCAGCCCCAGGTTTGTGTCTGGAATCGGCACATCAAATCCACAGGGCAGGAGGGGGCGAGAGAGGAGCGAGATCCCTATTTAACACACCGAGTGCAGGTCAAGGGCTGGAAGCCAAAGGGCTCCTTTAGGGCAGCTCTGAGCAGCAGAAAACTGAATTCCTTCCCACAAAACTCCCTGGTGGTGTGATACACAGTGAAACCCTGCACTGAGATTCCTGAGGTCCACCAGGAAGGACAAAGAGTCTAGGAAATAAGTCAAAAGTAGCATTTGACCACATTTCAGTTCCTGTGCTAAAGAAGGGTTGCTCTGTGACACTCAGCAAATGTTATTAAATGCAATATAGAATAATAGAAGCTTAGAGTCCTAAAACGCTTCCTAATTCTTGGAAAATTAAGTGCTGAAGGCTAATCTACTTTTGCTTTTCCCTCAGCCTCCAAAGAGATCAATTTTATATGTCAGTAATTAGTTACATTTTCATTGATTCTCAATTACATATTTAAAAAAAAAAAAGTTTCAAGTTATCCCTAATGTAGCTTCCTCACCTTTATTTTTCCCCTTCCCTTTGTTTAGGGATCTTTACTGTTCTAACTAGTCTTAAAGCTAAAGCCCTGCACTGGGTGCCAGGACATGGAGGTTTGATTCCCCGCTCAGCTGCAGATTTACCAAGTGACCTCGGCCAAGTTAATTCTCCTGCATCTTAATTCTGCTCTTCCCTGAAACATCATAATGCTCTCTTCTCCCATCATCCTGCCTTTTCCACTTCAGATCCTGAGGCACTTCAAACACCCAGGAAAAGAGCTCTTGCAGCTGAAACGTGTCCTTTTGCTGCGTGTCCAGCACACACCATGAGGGCGTGGGGCAGAATCCACACCCAGGCTCTCAAAGCACACAGAACTCAATGTCTCATCCTCTCTCAGAGCACACAAATGCCTTTATCCCTTCAGTTTGGAAAGCAAGGGACCAACCCCTCTGGAAGAGAGGCTTCCCATACCTTAGGCTAACCTCATATCCACAGCTTCCAAGCCTGGCTGCCAGGGATCAACCCCTAAAGCAGAGCTGATTTAGGAACTTCAGCCAGAATTGATGTCGGGGCAACCACAGTTACAAACACACCTAATCCAACCACACTGAAATGGCACAACTGGAGGGGCATAGGAGTTCTAGGAAATGCCAGTTTTATTTAGGAAAGTATCATTTATTTGCTCCTTTTATCCATTGGAGCTGGTCTGGAAACAGCAACAACACAGGCCTTGCACTCAACATATGTCCTGACTAATAATGCACTGAAACAGAGAGGTATCGGAGATGTATTTTACTGCTTTTAAGAACTACTAATGTTAAATTTTCATCTACAAATAGAGATATAAATAGATTCAAAAACTAAATTCAGAAATATCAAACTCTAAAATAAAATATTAAAATTAAACAGCTTTTGGACTCGAGTTTCCACAGCAGTATTCCCTTGAGCCGGTGACCAGGAGCAGCCAAGCCAATTTACCTCGTGTGGATCCACAGGACTCCAACACCAGCAGAGTCACCAGAACTGGGAATGTCAGCTGCTCAGAGCCAGAAAACTGGCCCAGAAAATGGGGGGAATTGCAAACATGAGGAGTGGGAGAGGGAAACTTTTTCCTAAGAGTACAGAGGCAGCAGCCAGGGAGCCCTTCCTAAGAGAAGAGCAAACTAAACTGCTTCCAAAGTCCCCAAAGCTTAACTAAGAGCAGGAATCAACACATTTCAGTCTAATTTTTGCATCTCTAAGTCTGAAGTGGGATCCGTGTCCTTGTGTTGCAGACATGGCAGAGCCAATCCAGCAGCTGACCAGGAACAACAACCCCCAGGAGCGACAGACCATCCCCTTCACCCTGATCCAGCGCAAGGAGAAGGTACTGCTGCCCCTCCCTGCCGGGCTGGGCTCTCACACCTCACTTCCACAAACGGGGCTCCTCATCAAACCCTTTCAACCCGTTAGGATTTTCAGAAATGGGGCTCCTTATCAAATCCTTTCAGCTCGCTAGGATTTCTAACACCCCAAGTGCAAAGCATTCTAACTGTTTAACTCCTTTCACTTGGAACAGCTCACCCCTTTAACAAGTGACTTTTCTTTTTTCCAAAGTAAAAGCTCTCAGGAAACTCATAAGAAAGAGAAGAATTACAGCCTTTGTGACATTTTATAACTGATTTAACAAAAAGTTCCCGTATTTTGATATTTGAAATAAAACCCCCGTCTTCTCCATTTAAATTGGTTCTTTAAATTTGCTTGTTTACACAGTCATGTTAATAAAACCTTAGCAAAGAGTGCTTGAAAGAGATTAATATCTGAATTTCAAACCAAAGTTCTTTTGTATCACAGATGATTACCAAACAAAGCAGCAATCTGCAACCCCGGCTCATCCTCTAATACAAATCTGAAAATGATGGGAGCAAATTGCTTCTGGCTCAGGAAATGTGCAAACAAGGGTCTAACCTTAAATCAACAGACCCAGAAAACCTTTACTAACCATCTATGAAGACTTTTTGTCACATTTCTTTTAAATAATAAGTCACATTTATAAATATCATAATTGGAACATGTTTCATCTGAACAGTTTGGGACTCCTGACTGTTCCTGTTGTAATTAAAAGCAAATTCTCAGTACTTCTGTAACAACTGCAGCTAAAAAATAAGGCTGTCCATTGCTAATTGCAAATAAATGGTTAATACAGTCCCAAGAAATGTCAGTTCCTTATTTTAAAGGAGAACTACCTGGAAATCTGCTGAAATAGGTTGTGGTCTGAGGGCAGCAGCAAATTCCTTCCTGAGTTCATATTGAATAAATGATTGATATATGTTGATATACTGAGGAAGGATTGAAACTCATGTTCCCTTCAAGATCACGTCCCTGACAGTTGAAAAAAGATGCAGCTGTTCTGGTGCTAAACATGTATTTGTTTGTGGGGGGTTTTCAGCTGCTGATATTGAAACCCTAACTCCTTCCCTCTGTGATTGCAGCTGGGAGATCTGCTCTATGAGAAAAGGCAGTATGGGAAGGCCAAGTGGGCCTGCATAAAAATGAAGGAGAAACAGTACGAGCAGAGCATCTGCCTGGGCTTCATGAAGCTCATGAGGTACATCTGTGAGCAGAACTCCTCAGGTAATGGGCACCACAACTCTGCACTGGAGTTATACAACTATATTTATGCCCTTAGTTCCCTAACCGGGAGATGCTTTTATTAGCTTTCCCAAATCCACCACCCTGGCTCTAGCCCTTCCAGAAGAATCACAGAAATCATGGAGTGGACCTTAAAGCCCATCCAGTGCCATCCCTGCCATGGGCAGGGACACCTTCCACCAGCCCAGGTTGCTCTGAGCCCTGTCCAGCCTGGCCTTGGGCACTTTCAGGGATCCAGGGGCAGCCACAGCTTCTCTGGGCAGCCTGTGCTGCTTCCAACCTGGAATACAGGGCCCCACTGCCTAAAGCATCCTGTTAGTAACCCTGTGGGGTTTACAGGACTCAGTGTGAGTTCAGCAGCCCAGCACAGCATGTAAAGCTCCCTTTGTGTTTCCTGCACACCCTGTGTCCCCCAGGGCTGTACCTGGGGATCACCATCCCCATCGTGACCATCGTGCACACCAACGAGTCCCAGTCGGCCATGACACAGTCGGTGACCGTCGCCTACTACCTGCCCGAGGTGCTGCAGGACGAGCCGCCACACCCCTTCGACTCGGACATCATCATCGAGGAGTGGCCTTCCACCATCGTCTACAGCAGGTCAGACACGGCTCAGCGCTGCTCCGGGGCAGCAGGGAGAACATGCACCTCTCAGTCGGGGCAGGCCACATCTTTTAAACCCAGTTATACACGGTAACAAAGGCAAAACCTTGTAAAAACTGCCTGGAAATAATGGTTAACAATTTCTGTGAGACAAAGGCACTTCCCCCAGAGGGTGGTTGGCACTGAACAGGCTCCCCAGGGCAGTGGGCACGGCCCCAAGGCTGCCAGAGCTCCAGGAGGGTTTGGACAACGCTCTGAGGGAGGGGGGAGATTGTTGGGGTGCATGTGCAGGGTCAGGGGTTGCACTGGGTGATCCTTGTGCGTCCATTCCATGATCCTATGCATTAATTGGTATACTGATGCATCTGCAAATGTGTGATAAGCCAGCATCAGCTATTCTGTGTAGCTGGGAGCAAAGCACCCAACATGGCAGGGACAAAGCTAAGATCTGTCACAGTATCACTGGGGAAGCACAACCAAAGCGTGTAGAAGGCTCCAGAAAAACTGGATGTTAAAAAGAACCTGACGTGGAGCCAATTGTTGCAGGAGCTTCAGAGGCATCACCAATGAAGACTCGATCATGAGAGAGATCAGCGTGCTGGCAGCCATCCTGGAGAGCCCTGAGCTGTGCCTGCAGGACACCTTCATCATCGCCGGCTACACCAACCCCGCCGCCGCCAACCGCCACAACGAGATCTGGTTCCTGCAGCGGCCCTGAGGAGCCAGATCTGCTGGTTGCTGCCTGCCCAGCCCTGCTCAGCCCCAGGCCCAGCTCACACCGGCTGCACTGCCCCAGGTCAGCAGTGGGGCTCGGAGCCCCTCTAGGGAGGCAATCCCCCAGCCCAGCCACCACACCCAGGCCACCCCAAACACAGCCCCCTGTGTCAACCTGGACAGTCTCTACACGATTTCAATGAGGGTTTTAGCACTTTATAAGTTAGTTCACCTTATCTTTTGTTTACAAGATAAGGCAGGCAGAGACCTCTCCCCTCAGCCACTTACTGGCATCCCTAGACTGCTTGTGGCTTGGGATGGTCCCTGGGGAGACCTTGGAGCTCCTGCTCTGGGCACCTGGTGCTGCACCAAGACCCCACTGGGGCTTTCAGTGGGAACACACCAAACCCACCTCAATAGGCAGAAAAAGAATGTCCAGGTCATAGTTCCTGAAGAGAACTACCAGATTTAGCCCCCTGGGATTGACCCAAGGAGCCAGAGCAGGCCAATGGCGACTGCTCTGGATGTCCTCATCCATGACACAGATTCCTAATGCTTACCTCACAAAGCACCCAACCAAAGGACCTTTAGACTGGAGAAGAGACCAAAAAGGCACCACAGTCCTAATGCTCATTGAGGTTTTGATGGCAAAAGTTACAGGTTACCTTAATCCCACACTCCCAGGAATCCTGTGACTGTCTTTGGCATTCCTAAATAGCCGCTGGTTATTTTTGACTCCAGTATTCTCAACACTTTTGTCTCACCACTTTGCTGGATGTCAAAACACTGCAGTGAAGTAACTAATTTGTTCAGTCCTTTTGCCACACCATCAATGTAATAAATGACAAAAATATTCGCAGAATCACATTAAAAATCCCAGCCAGAAGTGACCTCTGGCTGTCACCTCTGCAGACAGGAGGGCAGGCAGAGCTGGAGTTCGAGCAGCTCCAGGGAGGAGGAGCCCACAGCCCCTCTGGGCCCTGTTGCAGTTTGACCACCCTCACTGTGAGAATTTTCTCTTCCTGATTCCCAGTTTCTGGTTTCTTTTGCCCTTCACCATAAGATAATCCTACAGACAGACAGCTGCCTGCCTGGCAGAAAGGCTGAGAGCAGCACTCCCACTGTTTCACACAGTCCAAGAGCACCTACTGCACTTTAGAACTGGGGTAGCAAACAGTTTTGCTCTCAGAAAATCCCTCCTGAATGTGTCCCCCTACTGATATGATGGGAGAGTTTATGCCTAATAGAAGTGTCTTTTTATATAAAATTTATGGAGCACATCACCAGCATTATTTATTGATTGCAGGATTTAGGGTTTAAACAGAGCTTCTGTGCTCTTTAATCACAACCTACAGGCCAGCAACCAGAGCCAGCTGCTGCTGACTCCCAGCAGAGTGAAAAAACCCCAGGCATGGATTTATGGAGTACTTCTGGAAGAACCTGAAGCCTCCTGGTGCCACTGGCTTTAAGCTTAACCCAAAGCCTCTCCCTGAGCAGCAGGATCAGAGTGCAGCTGGCCCCGGCTTAAGTGGGACCAAGGTGTCCTCCGGTGCTTGCTGGGCATGGAGATCCTTGGGACACAGCAAGGAGAGGGGAAAAATGGAAAAAGAAAATAAAAAGAGAGAGAAAAGCCTTAGTTTTAACACAAACAAACCAACAGTCCTCGTAGGGAGGAAAAAAAAAAAAACCCAAACCAACAAAAATGCAATGAAGAATCTCAGCCTGGGAAAAGGAAAATTAAGAAATGGCAGCCAGTATTAAACTAAAAGCTCTTAGTTAACAGAAAATAACAAAAAGCTTTTAAAAATTCAGTTGAATAGAAGGCCCAGGGAGGAAGGTTTTGTCCTCACCCCCCCCCCCAAGATTTTTAAAAGAGCAAATACAAATAATTTTCCCCTTTGGCAAGCTTTGATGCCAAATTAAAGAGGTTTCTGCAATCTGATTGCTTTTGCCAGTTAGACAAATTATCTTAACGCTTTGGCACAGCAGATGCTGAACAGTCCTTGGAAGCAGTGAAATCCTCCCACCACAGAGCACCAGTTTGTACATAGTTTACATTTTAACCCTCTGCTGCAAAAAGCACTTGCTGTGTGTGCTGTCCCTTGCCACAGGCAGCCCCAGCCCTGCTGTGACTCAGCTGCTCGTCCTGGAGACATCCCTGTCCCTGAGACACGAGCAGCTGCCCTGTGTGCTGATCCCCCACTGCAGCCAAGCGTTCCCTGGTGTTTCTGCCAGTAGTATTTATTTATTTTGACCGTGTTAGGGCTTATGCTGCTGACAAAACTACTCAACCTGCCGTTTGAAGATACACTTTATGGCTGTGGAGCGTGCAAGAGGGCTGTAACC